TAAATATACTTTGTTATGTTGAACATTTAAAAAATATCAAGCACAATTTTGATTTTTTATGCATTTATGTGTTTAAATATTTTGTATATAAGGTATTTTGTACTGTATACTGATTTTAGTTAGTATGAAAGTGATATGCTTGACAGATTACCAAGGATTTAAATATTTTAAAAATTTCTAACCAGGGATTCAGTCATCATGCACCAAACCATATTACTGCATGAAGAAGCCACAATCTTTCAGCAGACCAGTTTTGGTGCAAAATACTTCATTTTACTAATGTGAAAATACTAATTAAACTTTGGTAAACTGGTAATAGTCCTAATAAAATGCTTTCTTGAAAAAAAGATGCAGACAACAGATTAGAAACTAAAAAGATTAACCATATTAACTCGCATGGAAAGTTTGGCAGATGCACATTGGATAAATGTCAGTTCCAGTAGTTTGTCATGAACCAGGTGCACACTTAATCTACCCTGCAATATGTAGTATGCTCATGGTTCTGGGAGCAGGTGAAAATACATATACTAGAAAATACATGCATGCAGAAACCCTTGCCTTGCTGACAAAACCATTGTATTTTCCGAACATGAAGTATCTAAAGTAGTTGTCATGGTAACACGATAATTTTTCAAGAATATTCTTAAAATCGCCTAAAAATATCACTTAATTCACTTTTAATTACAGAATTATCAATTTCCCAACATGTATATGTTAGGTATGTTATTATACGTAATATAAACTTCAATTTAAGGTAAAATTCAACCACAACACTTCGCCAAACGTTTTAAAGTGTTCTTTGTATTAAAACTAAACTGCCTTCAATTAAATGGCTTTATTGATAAATTTTGAGTTTGCAATAAAAGGATTTAAAATTCTCGCATGCAAATAACTTTGCTTTCTTTTTTATTTAAAAAATTCAATATAATAAAAAAGGATATCAATATTAAAGATATACTGAAATTATATGCTGGCTTGTTTAGTTGTTTCATATACGCAAAGACCGTCGGGTTTTAAAGCAATTATAAAACCAATATTTAAAACAAACTTACCTTTGTTAACGTCGGCTCCCTTCTTTTAGCCAATTCTTTCGCCCTTTCTTTCTGAGATAGCTTTTGAAATTTACAAAATCTTGCAAAAATGCAAGCAAAAATGAAATATATTTGCAAGAAATGTATCAATCATCAAATAAAGAAATGTTTGCTATTTCGCTGTCGTCATGCAGTCGTTATAATGCAAACTTTAAATTGAGTATTCATGACAGTCCGCCATATTTTTGAGATCAGTGAGGATGACCACCCATCGTTGGTGACCCACGCCCGCGATAACTGATGAACTTTAGACTTCGCTAATGCTTTCGTTTCCTCGGGTGTAAATAGCCGGGGGGAATTACTACCCTCGCACGGCCCGGCTCGGGGATTATAGAGGTTAAATTTCACATAATTACAGCTGCAATGATAAAAAAAAACAATAAAGAAATTAAGCTGATTTACAATGTAACATGCTAATTTGCAGTACAGTTGGTGAGTGTAATTTGTAGAATATAGAACGCAACTTCAGTACTTTAGGTAAGCAGTACGTAATTGATCATTGGGGATGAGCTGATAAGGAAAATTGCCGATTATTACTTAAGGCTGATTATTGCAAATAATTGGCTGATTAATTGGTAACTGCCGATTATTTTAAATGCGTCGCATGTTTTTCCTGCTGTGCTGATTACAATTCGAGTCAGGCTTTTTTATTTACACATTACCTATGTGTTGTCATCTTCCAAAATATCAAAATATGTCCAAACTGTGCTTTTTACAACGTTCACCATTAGTTTCGGGGCAAAATAAATCCGAGGATAACTCCCCCTGCATTTTATAACTAATATCAGGATTTGTTTAAGGCAATCAGAAAACAGGATATGGTATGACTCAATGCAAGGAATGCATTGTAAAGCATCTCACATGAGACAAAAGTCCCAGGTTTTGCAACATGCACAATGTGAAAAATTAATCCACTCTCTTGTATTCAGAATTTTAGCATGTGTTTGGCAGATGCAGAGACGTATGGCCAATTATTTGCCGATTATCAGGCAATAGTTGGCTGATTACCAATTATTTACATAGGCAATGGCCAATTAATCATTTACTGATTAATATAGCTCATCCCTAGCAATGATATGTTAAGCATGCAGCAAAAGTTTGTCAAGCTCATGTTAATACTGTTTCTTGTGTTTATCATGGTGTTTACTATTTAGTTGCTGCAATTTTACTTGTTAGGAAGATGGTGGACCTATGCATGCACAAAACAAATGAAAACAAGTAATATATATATATATATATATATTTATATACTTTAAATAGGGAAAACACTGGAACGCGTTCAGAATGCGTTTTTAATTAGGTTACTTCTGAGCGATACTGTATATTTTAACAACAAAAAATTAACTTAAAAGTAACGATAAAAACAGTTTTCCTTGTTCTTTTACCATTCCTATTTTCTTCCAAAAGATTCAAACCCATTAAACTAAATACAATGTTCAAACCTTGTGTCCGCCATCTTGAATGTTTTGAGCAGGACAAAAAACGATAACAGGGACAGAAAACGATATTCGGGACAAAAAACGATATCAGGGTGATGTATCGTTTTTATGTCCTCATGTTATCAACCTGATAAAGGCACAAGTATGTGATATATATATATATATATATATATATATATATATATATATATATATATATATATATATATATATATATATATATATATATATATATATATATAGCTATAAATTTTTTCTTCAATAATAATCACCAATGGCACTCCCAAAAGTTTTAGTTCTAGGTCATTCAATTGTACGTCAACTTAAGTCTCACCTGGAATATCAGTCCAACTTACGTATGTCCCAAACATTTAAACTTGAAGGGAACGCTCGAGTATATTTACATGGTATTGGCGGTCGCACAGTACAAAAATTACGGCATCATGACCTAGCTGTTGTTTCACGCCTTTCTCCGGATATTGTGGTGCTAGAAATTGGCACTAACGATTTATCCTTGTTACCACCTGAGGTGGTAGGCTCACAGATCGAGGAGCTAGTCGTTCTGTTGCATGAAACATATAAGGTTAAGGTGATATGTCTGCCTGGTTACTGCGTGTTGGCGTAATTGGCATTTCAACAAAATACGCCTTGTTCTGAATAACTACCTAACAGTGGTATTGGAACATATGCCTAAGGTATTTTATGGCTACATCGCAACCATCTGTGACACCTTTTCTTCGCGACGGGGTACACTTAAATAAAATAGGGCAATACAATTTGTACCACAGTTATAGGGGTGCTACTCTCAATGCTATCACCATGTTGTAGTTCCTAATCACCACGTTACATGATGCATCAATTTCCATTTGTTGTTAATTCCCTCCATAATGGGGGCAATATATTTGTGTTCAAAATAAAACTTTTTGTCTTTTTGTATGTCTAAAAGTGTACAAATTTATCCTAGGATAGCTTTAAACTCAGCGTTGTCTTATCTTGCATATTCTTCTGTACGCATGTATTCTAGGCCTTATAATTTGGTATTAGTGTTATTTCATGCATATTCTACTCAGTACGCATGTATCTCAGATTAATAGCCACATGTGTGGTTTTGTTTTTGTTCTCACATGAATTGTGAGTCATTTGTTGGCCATAGGATGAGTGGTGCGGCGATCAACTACGATCTGCCATGCTCATTCCTGCCGATGTTTTTTAATAGGAATATTTCGATAATTTTTAGAGTTTTTATGACAGTTGCTATTTATGTTGCTGCTTTCTAATTCATACCATTTGGAAACTTCACAATTTCATAGTATGCTTTTATTCTACATCATGCTAAGTTTTGCTGTTTTTGATAATTTGTGATGAATAATTTCTGCCTTTTCAAGTTTTATTTTCTAGAATGCCTCCCATTCGTCGTTCAAAGTGACATGACACTCAGCCGGGGGTTATTTTTGTTTCACACCTCGGTACTCCACTATCGCGTAACGATTTCACCACTCAAAAGGGCTTTTCGTCATTGCGGTTTGGGTACCTCAAAATATAAGTCACATTCTTTTTGGATTGGTGCAGCTTCCCACGCTGCAGAAAATGGTTATTCTGATGCACAAATCCATGCATTGGGGTATTGGAAATACTTGCGAATTTCTACTATATCGACATAACCCCATTTCACCTTGATTTCTTAGCATGAAACATGCAGGGTGTTTTATCCTCAATTTTATCTGAAATTTCCCATGCATGATTTTGAGCGTGATTGGCAAGGGCAATCATGCAATCTGTCAGCGCCCTTTGTTTGCACAACTCGCATTGCACCAATATGTCATCAGCAAGGGCGATGTCATATATACTCTTACGTAGTGCATATTGTGCAATTGACCCGAGTGCTTTACTTCGCAATTTCATCTGCCTGTTTAGTAGGGACAGACAGGGCAATCCAATGTTTAATTCAATGAAAGACTCGTGTGGCAATATTGTATCTGTCAAAAACGTGGGCTTAGGCTAAGTAACATGGCATGACAACTTTCAGTTGCCGTAGTCTGCAAGGGCGGCTACGTTTCTACTTTTTGCTTATATAAGCTACTTGGTTGCCTTCATGGCCCATAAATCTCGCCAGATGAGCATGCATTCTTTTTCCTTGGGGTGGGGTTTCATCTCAGTCAGCTTTGGTGATTTGGCGATAATCTGCCTCCACCCTTTTCTGGGCAAAATTGTTAATATTTTCATACATATATATTATTAATTATTCTTTTATTAATTTCAATAAATCAGTTAGGAGAAAGGTTACTCCTAGCCAAATTATCCCAAATTGTTTTATTCTTTGCTATTTAACATATACCCAGAAAACAAAGCTACAGAAAAAGAATGCCTGCATTATTCAGTGGCTACATTGGTGCTAGGTGGTTTGTAATAATATGGTGAATCACATTGCATAAATGCTACACTTGTCAGAATTGATTCTGTAGTGAGCCCTATGAGCCTATCTCCATCACCAAGTCCAGAAGGAACTCAAGAGGTAGGGAATTATCATAATTTTAATACTATAAGTCATTCGTCAGCCAAGCTAAAGCTACCAAAATTGAGTTTTAAGAAGTTTAAGGGAGATTAAGGAGTGGACTACGACATATGGCAATCTAATTGTCTCAATATTGATGCAATGGCTGCCACCAGGTTTACGTATTATTGTAACAGAGAAGATGCAAGAGGATGAACGGTCTTTGGATAAACCTATGACAATCTTTGGACAGGAATTAAAGGCTAGAGAAAGAGCAAATCTGCAGTGTTTACCTTTGTCAAAGTCCAGTTATCAATGAAATAAACCGGCAACAGCTGCTATTCTTTCTGCAGTACTGCATGACACTACCAGTTACTGTCAAGGAAAGCACTTATCTGCAAACTGCAAGACAGTGACCAATATGGCTGCACGGAAAAATTTTCTGAAACAAATTAGACGGTGTTTTGTATGTTTAAGAAAAACCCATATTAGTAGGGAATGCCAATCGAACATCAAATGTTTTAAATGTGGTAGATGACATCATGGAAGTCTGGCCAACTAGCGAGCACCTCATCATCCACGTCAGCCCGCAACAGAGACTGAGAAAAGGGATGAAACCGAAATTGGTGGCAAGAACTTACCAGCACAACTAAACAGAGAAGGAGATCAACAACAACAGCAAGCTACTACAAGTCAAACCATGTATGTTGGCACAAGAACATCTAGTGTTTGTCAACATATACAAGCCCGGAATGCAGGAAAACAGAGTAAATGCTCGACTTATACTGGGAGCCAACATTCTTTCATTACAATCAGAATGAAGAATCAATTAAATCTTGATGCAGAAGGGACACAAAACCTGATGATTAAGACATTCAGAGGCCAAGCAGAACTACAAACATGTGAATTTCTGCACTTCAACATTGAGACAGAATCAACTTATCCCGATCTTTCACTTACAGCATTTGTAGTAACCAAAATTTGTCAACCACTCAGACACCAAACAACGCAAGTGGCAGAGGAAATTTTCCATCATCTCGAAAGTCTTAATCTTGCAGATCTTAGTACTGGTGAAGAAGAGTTAGAAGTTGATATTTTGGTGGGATCTGATCAATATTGGAATTTAATAACTGGAGCAGTTAGACGGGGAGATCCTGGACCTAACACAATGGGAACAGAGGTTGGCTGGGTTGTGTCTGGTCCTGTAACAGATCCTGTGAGTGAGGAAACCAGCTTGGTGAACACACATGTTCTGAAGTTTGCGACACAACCACTAACCACTGATGCGACAGATATGACACAAGACAGGGGCGGATTCAGACCGTTGCAAACGTAGCACATGCTAAGGTCAGATTTTCCCCGAAATATTTTTCCAGGGTGTACTTTTTTTAAAGTTAGGGGTAATTTCACGCCAAATCGACTAAACTTCCTGCACAAGCATTACAGATTTAGTTGGTTTTTGGTACACTTTTAGATCATTATATAATTAGAATTTGTGTGAATTTTCACTAGATGACATTAAGTATTTCAGGAAATATAAGCAAAACACTGTGTGATTGTCAATGGCGGATGTCGCCATTTTGAAAGAATTTGTAATTTCGGTATAATTCGCACATCAATATCTCGTTTATCACTCAACATCTAAAGACAAAAATTGGTAGAGTAATAAATCTTGAGACTGCTCTTCTAAACCAATACATCGTTTAACCTATTGAGTCGCATTGCACCCTGATGCACCCCACTTTAGTATTTTACTCTGTCTAATGCCAGATGATTTTACTCGTCAAGGGGAGAGCGCTGGCGCTTAATGGGTTAATGTATGTGATGAAGGATGTCGTAAATAATGGGGGATCAACATACTGGCAGAATGGAAAAAATACAAAATCGTCATAGATTTGAACTATAATATCTTGGAAGATATCTGTCTAGGTACATTCATATTATCCACACATAAAAACAAGCCTTCAATGAATTCTTGTTAGCAATAATAGCCTGTTATTATTAGCCAGACGTTAAAAATACAGATTTAACTTGCGGAAATTTTTGGATGTCTTCTTTTCTACGAGGGAAATAATCATGTGGGACTAATCGGACAAACCCAAAATTTCACTGTGTAAAAGTAACTATTATGCTAAACCTGCAGTCAAAATGTCGTTCTTGTCCTCGGACTGGTTCGATATTTGTGAGCAATCTAGAAATTGGTGTTTTTCACTAATTGAATTCATTCAAATGTAAACAAACAAATTATTATTATAATATCATAGTCACCTCGAAATCTTTTGTCTTACGAGGTACGATTAACGTCTCATTTACCTCAAGCTGAGTGAACAGGTACAATTAGTAACTAATCGTACCTCATGTTTAGTAATGAGGTAAGATTAGTTACTAATCGTACCTCATTACCTCTGATTGGAGAGCTGTACCTCATCGAAAATTATCGGCACAACTATGGACAGTATCTGACGACACCATCCCATACACATTCGAACAATCACTTTGCCAGCTTTTATTCCCTAATCTTGAACATTACAATTGTGGGAAAAAATTCCGTTTATGCGCATGCCTAAAACGAATGAACACGGAGATGTGTTTCTGCGCGAGCGTATATATGAAAAGTGTTCGTACCACAATCATAAGACAATCAAACAGCATTCAAAACAGGCAACACACCACGCGCGATTCCCTTGGCAACTATGATATTACAAAGTAATAGCATGACATTACGGTCGATTAGTGATGAAATGTCCCTCAAGCCTCGAGAGGTTTAGTAAAAGTCCCTCGGCGCTACGCGCCTCGGGACTTTTACTAAACCTCTCTCGGCTTTCGGGTACATTTAATCACTAATCGACCTGAATGCCATGCTATTACTTATAATAAATTAATAAATAATAGTGATTTATTAACTAAACTGACATTTATGTTAATTTTACCAAAATAGGCGAAAGTCATACAACATATCGCCAAAATATTGAAAGTACTGGAACGGAACATACTGTACTTCTATGACTATCTCTGTACGACTATATTAAGCAGTACTGATGGACTACTTCTTTATAAATAACAATTACACAACGCGTCCAAATTGTACGTACACATGCTGACACGCATCACAAAATGTATTTATACATATAGTGATTACATTATTACACAATTGTGATGTCATGACCATACTTAGTGACGAAATATATAAAATAAAACGTTAAGTGCATGTATATATAAAATAAAAAGTGAATTATAAAAGGTATGTAAGCTAAATATTGGAGAAATACAGGATTAAAGAAGATTATATTGCTGAATAATTAGTTAGTTATATACGTCGAATGGCAAGCAAGCTTGAACCTTGTTCAATAGGTATTTTACTCGGCTCAACTGAAGATTGCCACAAGACTACTTACGCAAAGAAAGTTGGAACAAATAAGTTGGCTGCTCTACCAGTGGACGATGTCGAACTAATTGTACGAAGGAGCGGTTTGAAGGCAGAAAATGACAGCGTTATCTGTTTTTATCATGAAATGGTTTATTTACGCAAGTATGAATTTTTGCAAAAAAGTTGTTATGATCCCTTTGAAATGCATCCAACAATGGCAAGGAAAAAGTCTTTATGCATAATAGATATTGCAAATGCGGACAAAATTAATAAACTCGTTGTGAAAGATATCAAGCCTGGTCAAAAGCTGTGCCGAAAACGTTCATCTCATCTTGGAAGCATCAATGAAAGTTGCATCGAAGAAGATAAAGAGTATAAGCTTGAAGTCGAGTTACATAATCTTGCCGCCACATTTAGCTCCCTTGGTTGCACTCCAGTTAAGACTAAATTCGCACAGAGAGACCGTGCGGTGTATCCCAAACAAAAGGCTCAAGAAGTGCAGATGGCTATTACTGACGAAGTTGCTCGTCGTTTAAATGTTGACTCCAATGAACTTCAAACGTGTCAAAAGTGCACAGACCTTGACGCAATTATAGAAGGGATCAAAGAAAAATACTCCACTTCAAACATGGAAGCCACACTAAAACTTATCACTCTTGCGCCGCCCTCTTGGACAATAGAAAAAACTGCGAACGAGTTTGGAGTATCTAACTTCATGGTCAACAAAGCTCGGAAATTGAAAAAGGCAAAAGGAATTTTACCTGATATAAGCCCAATAAAAGCAAGGAAACTGTCGGAAAGCAAAACGAAGGTCATCAATTTTCACAACGACGACGAAGTATCGCAAATGTGCCCAGGGAAAAAAGACTTCGTTTCCGTTAAAAATTCAGAGGAAAAATGAGTCTATGTTCAAAAGCGACTCTTGCTTGCTAATTTACGTGAACTGTATTTGCACTACAAAGAAAAATCAAGTGGTGAACATGTTGGATTTTCCAAGTTTTGTGAACTTCGGCCCCGTTGGTGTATTACCATTGGAGCGAAAGGTATGCATTTGGTATGTGTCTGCGAATACCATCAAAACGTCAAGTTACTGTTGGATTCTCTCCCTGGACCAAAACTTGATCATAAATCCTTAATGGCGAAACTTGTTTGTGATGTCAGTGAAAGAAACTGCATGCTTCATCGGTGCGAGAAATGTCCAGGTTCTGACAGTCGCAGAGAACACCTTCAGTCTGTCTTTTTGGAACGTTCAATCGAGGATGATGATGAACTAACTTTCAAGCAATGGATGCATACAGATGGCACACGACTTATCACAAGACAGGAACTTACATGTGACCTCTTGGAGGAGATCGTTTTGCAAATTAATGCTCTAACCAGCCATAGCTTCATTGCGAAGGCACAAGCAGCCTACCTCGCACAGCAAAACGAGTCGTTAACTCGAGGCACTGCGGTTGTTTTGCTTGATTGTGCAAAAAACTACTTATTTGTTGTTCAGGACGCTGTTCAAGGTGACGACAACAGTCAAGCTACACTGCATCCACTAGTTGCCTATTATCGGAAAGAAGATGGCAATCTCAGGACGATCAGTTTCTGTGTGGTCAGTGATTGTCTGAAGCATGATGCTACAGCTGTGTATGCATTTATCAGCATTATCATTGCTCATCTCAAGAAATTAATTCCAGGTCTTTCGTTGGTGAGGTATTTCAGTGATGGAGCCGCCAGTCAGTACAAGAACTGTAAAAACCCTTTTAACTCTTTTTCATCCGGTGCCAATTAGACCAGGACTGGACCGACCTGGTTCTTTGGAGATTTATATCTTTGGTTCAGTGCATGCTATGTAGATAAAAATAACACTGTTCGATTCAGTAGGAAATTTCCTATCGATAGAGTTAGTAAAATGTCAATATTTTAGCGATTTACGACCTTTGGAGGTCAAGAGACTTCATATTTCATTATACTAGAAGTTACTATCGTAAGTGAAGTGCTGCCTTGGGTTTGGCAACAGGTGGAAAAATTGGAGCTATACCTGTTGACCGCTGGCATTTCTAAACTTGATTTATTTATTTATTTTTATAAGATAATGTAAACGATGTAATAGTTACGGTTTTAGAATCATTATGAACACAAAGAAAAACTGATATGAAAACGAGACAGTTGCCTTGTAATTAGCCTGCTATAGAGTTGTTTATTTTAGCCCGCAAGTATACGCCACAATGCCCGCCAAACTTATTATAATCTGGTCCATTCATTGAACTATATTATTAATTAAGTAAACTTATAGTTCAATGGGTCCACTGAGTCACAGAATACTATACAGAAGTATATCTCCACTGTTTTTTGCGTAAGCGCGTTATTTGTCATGATTCGTCACTCAGCAAGTACCGTAAACAGAAGCAATCACCCCCCTGGAAATACTCAAAATGGCGTATGTCCAGGGGGGTGACTGCTTCTGTTTACGGTACTTGCCGAGTGACGAATCATGACGAATAGCGCTTACGCAAAAAACACTTCTGTATAGTATTCTGTGACTGAGTACAGCGTTGCCTAGTCCGGTATTTTATCCCGAGATGGCGATTGGGATCTTTTGGGGATTTTTATCTCAAAAAGGCCATCTCGGGATTTTTTGGATTTTTTGAGAAAGCAAAATTCGAAATTTAGAAATCAACTTTTTGGTAAAATTGAGCAAAAACAGGTTTTTTTTAAATTAAGGGTTCGTTTAAGCCGGTTTTCCACTACCGAATTTCTTCGCGCAAAGCGAAGTTGAAAAGAATTGATTAAAAATCTAATTAGTTCCAGCCGAAAGCCCATAATACAAACGATTCGCGCGAACAAATTCGCTAGTGGAAAACCGGCTTAAAACCCTATTCAGCTGCGTATTTGTTGTCAGATTTTGTGTTCACAACATGACTACGTATAAGGCTATCCATAGGCAGCCCACTAAACGACTGAATTTAAATTAAAACTGCAGTGAAATTATAAAATTTAACGAAAATAATCACAAATTAGCGAAATATATTGCGATTTAATATAAGCTACATTTCGCAATATATTTCGCTAATTTGTGATTATTTTCGTTAAATTTTATAATATCACTGCAGTTTTAATTTAAATTCAGTCGTTTAGTGGGCTGCCTATGGAATATCGGGATTTTTTAGGGAATCTGGGGATATTTGGGGGGCGGGGCTTACTTGGGATTTTTACAAAATTGCTGTTCACATTGAGTTTATAAGAGAATGAGTTTATTAATGTGGAGAAAGTCAGCTTCAAAAGAAATATTAAATTAAATATTAAGGAATGAGGTAAAAAGCCAGCTTTAATATATTTATTTTAACCCCATTAATATGAAATAGTAACATAGATATTACATCAGTTCCTGTTATAAAATGTTCCATAGACTATGGAGAAATATATGACTGTTCATATAGTAATTATAGTCACTGTATAGACCTGTATATAGTAATACAGTGGTAAAATTACATAATCTCATAAAAAAATAAATTCATGCCTTTCTAATATGAAATCTAATGTTAACAATAGTTATAGTTCAATCCACTAACGAAATTGCATGCCTTGAATAGTTTAATCAATGTTTATATTGACAAGTTCATTGGTGAGATTGTCATAGGTCATTTTGAACTTTTCTAAAGATGTGTCCAAGATTGACAGGATCAAGTCTTCTTCCGAAATGGTTGTCAGGTCAACTGGAATATCTCTGATGGAAAAAAACTGCTTCAAGACTTCATTAGAGAGGCTCAGGCGAAGCTTTTTTGTTGAATCTTCTGGTTTGACAAGCAGACGAACTAACCAATGGACGGGACATGATGCTGGAACTTGTGAAAGCTCACAGGCTTGGCAGACTGCTAAGTTTCCTGAAACATCTATAGATCGTTTTTGACAGGATTGACAGATTAGGGTTTTGAAGGTTTTGTGCACGCCAATAATACTGCCAGTTATAATGGAGGTTGTGCTCACTTCTTGTTCGAGAGGCACGAGAGGATCAGTGAATGGTTCAATTTCATTTGCAGTAAATTCATCTGAGCGTGGGGTGTTAAGATACCGCTCGTACTTTGTGATCTTCACTCTGAGATTTTTAAATAGGTAGGTTTGATTTAGAGTGAGAGAATCAACATGATCACCCCAGAGAACAACTTTGAAGGAGGCTGTTGGATCTCTAATTATTATATCTTGTTTTGGAGTGTTGGCAGAGAAATGGGTTGAAACAGTTTTCACGGCAGATATACTCGACACTTCGCCTTTAACAGAGATAAGTTGTTCACCTGCAAGGGTATGGACCGAGGACAACTTTATTGGATCACCAGTGGAGGAAGCGGCCAATTCTTCTGAGATAGCAAATGGTATGTCCTCTCTTGCAAGTGGGTCTATTTTAGTGTGTTTTGTTATGACAAGGTCGTTGCCATGATCACCAAGTTTGAAATTCCGTAATTTGACAGGACTCTTTGATGAAGCAATAGCATGGATTTGTGCACGTTTTTCTGGGGAATAGCATACTGCTCGTATGGGGTTTTCACTTGACTGAACAATACAGTTGAAATACTGTCTGTTAGATAACTGGGCTTTTTGAATCTTCGACACATTATGTATATAGCAATCCAAGGGCAAGGGATTGTCGTGATGACTGCCTGTATAATTATAAAAAATTATTTTTTAATTAAATAATTCCGCCATTTTGAAAACGTCTTAGGGGTCTTGGGTCGAGATTATATTTGTATATTTTTTTCATTTAAAGATGCGGTAAAGTCTGTTCTGCGCATATATTCTGCACATCAAAACATTTCATCAGTTGGGGAGCAACCTTTGGAATGTTGTTAATATTTCACACTTTCCGAACTTTCTTGAATTGAATCTCTAGTCTGTATTCATTTACAAGCATAACGAACCAGAAAAGTGTTAAAAATTCTGTATAATATATATCTAATCATATTTTACAACTGTAGCACTGAGTTCAAAATGTAAACAAAGCGTTTGTTTACATTACGGACTTTACATCACCTTTAAAAATTTTATTTTTATTAATTCTGCCCACAAAATATTTACAAGTAGTAAAAATAATTACAGTATAGTATAATGGGCTAGGCTTGATACTTCAGTTTTTTGAATTTATCAAAATATTCTGTTTTAATAGTGTTTTTCTGCTAATCTAGAAATTTCTTTTATTTTTGCTCAATACTTTCTTTGTATAGAACTAAAACTGTACCACCCCCTTTTTTCATGGTCTCAAAAATGTACCCCCCCACTTTTTTCTGATTTTGAGATTTGTACCCCCCACACACACTAAACACCAGCCCCCCCGGCCATAATTACAGTAAAACCCCGCATATAAGAACCTAGACTCTGTGACCTAGATTTTGCAAGTTAGCCTAAACAGGTTCTTATGCAAATGGTGCTTACCAGGAAATTAGGCTGAACAGGTTCCTAAATAGGTTTTTATTTTCTTAAGAGAAAAGCGACTCATTTTTAGGGAGGTATGGTATATGATTTATATGAATTAGGCACAAATGATGTAACAAATGACAGTGCATACGCCATACCAACCCTTAATATACACTTTAAGGCTACACTGATTGTAACTTATGACTTAATTTTGACTCTATTTGATAATATAAGAATCTGTTTTGAAATTCTAGCAGGAACAGGTTCTTACTTAAAGGGCGTCTAAATAAAATATTTTAGCCTAACACAGTAACAGGTTCTTAAATTCTAGGTTCTTATATGCGGGGTTTTATAGAACTGTAACCCTTAAAATAAGTCCCTGTAAGTCCCTTAAAATAATTTATTACAGATTAATAATTAAAAAAAAAATTTAAACTTAATTAAAGTGTGCTCCTCTGATTTTGGGGAAAATGTACGAGATTTTCCTATTTTTTGAATCAGGAGTTCGGGGAATATAAACTTAAGAGTACGTTCACACTACAGCGGAGTCACACTACGCCGTTACAACAGATTGAATTAGCACTAATGTGAACCCAAAGTAGTTCAAATAGAGCAAAGAAATTTGAAGGAAAAGCATTCCAACTTACTATTTTGAGATCTGAGATGCTTGGTTTGCAAGCGGTACAAAAAAGTAACGACGTTTGTGTTCACACGAAGCCGCCAAGCGCAAACCGTTTGATTCAGTATATTGAACGGCATTTTCTATTTTTTGCACACCAAAATTTAATGTCAAATTAACAGTACTGTTTCGTTGATGCATACTTTTATAAAATAATCCTTTGCTAAGTTGAAAACTGAACAGAAAAATTAACTAAAATACAATGAAACGATTGAACGTTTTTCAACTCGCTCTGGCAACGCCCTGAATTTGAATTCGTGGAGCGGCCTGAAAGCAAAAAACCTCAGGCTCAGCGAAGTTGTTCCTGATCAATACGAAAACAAAGTTTCACAAACCTGAACCTTGTTGTTGTTTTTGACTCATCTAAAAAGCAAAAAAATACACATTAAATATCCAAGTGACACATTCCATGTATTTTGGGTATGGTTGACGGTCAACAAAATGTGAAAATGAGCTGTAGACTATAGTAGGCTATACGTTTACCCTACTATAGTCTATAAAAATCGGTAACGATCAATTCTAAAATGCATGCATGTAAGAAGGGATCAAAACTTACCGTGTGCGTGAATAAGGTCTTTTATCACAACGGCAATGCGATGAATCACTGAACATAGATTAAACTGAATGCGCAATAACAGGAATGGTTCCGTCCTATAAAAGGCTAAAACAAACTTGGCCCACCCACATCTATTTTTATTCTGTGTCTATGATGACTATATTGCTATTTTTAGGTGCTGATTCTAATTCAGACGGGGTCACGGGGCTGAATTCAGACCGGGGACCCGGGGCAAATTTTTTTAGGGGCCTATTTCCAAAAAAAAATTTTTCGGACAACAACCTCCCCCCTTCCCAACCTTCCGGACGAGTACGATGTAATTGCTTTCCAGCGACTTTACCTCAATTTTTCTTACCAAATTTCATTACTTTGCCCAAAAACCCAAATATCTTGCCCTTTGCGCGAAAATATTTCTTCCAAAAAAATGACTGCGGCCCAACAAAAATTTCTAGGGGCCCCCATAGCCTGGGGGCCGGGGCAATCCCCCCCTCCGCCCCCTCTCGGCGGCCCTGCTTTTTATAAAACCTTGTTTAAACCGAACGCGGGATTTATATATGGCAAAACTTTCAGCCCATGGCTGAGTTCTAGTTCAACCTACCCTGCCAGGTGCGGCACAAGAACTTCTGGAACCAGGGCAAGTTCAACATAGCCTGCGAATACAGAATCTATTTATATCGCTTATTCCATATCGCGCCCCCCCCCCCCCAGTGGAATAAGCGATATAAATAGATTCTGTATTCGCAGGCTAGTAAGTTCAACCCAGGATTTATGTACACCCTGGCTGACAATTATACCCGAGGTTGAACGTTTTTTGCCCTGTAATCGTTTGATTTCAAGTCGGCTAGCTCAAACTGGGCTGATTTTTGAAATTTGAACCCGAGCAACATGGCTGGATTCAGTCCCCGCTCCCAGGGTTGAAATTGTCCATGTAATTGAAAAATTTCAGGCCGGTCAATAGGGTTGAATTCAGGCCCGGGGTTGAAAAAGCTGCATGTAATCAGCCCCTTAGAGACCAGTAAAAAGAAAACATGAGCGGACTGTGGGCTGGTGAAAAAGATGGACTGCGGAGTACAGACTGTGGAGTACGGAGTCTGTTTTTTGTTTACGTTTAGCGTTCGCTTTGACCAAATTGCGTCTTTTCCACTTTAAGGGGAATAGAGTGGTGAACACGGAGTGGGGTAAAAGATAACGCTAAGCTTAATTAACACGTTTTATTAAACAGACACGGTACTCTCTGTATATTTGAAATTTGAGTGACATTTCCGGCATTGTGAGCACTGCATTAATTTGTTAGAGTACTTTTTATATGATGACCGGTGTATTGATGCTTGAATGGTCAAAATTCAATCACTTCAATATAGTAAGTAGAATTCGTAACTCAAATATGGAATACCAGAGTTTTCATCAAGGGGGCGATGGACAACACTAGGGGGGTGCACCCCTGTAATAAAATACACTAAAAATTAATAAACTGCATGAATAAATCCATGAACTAATATTTAACTTATTCACATTGCAAATGAAACACTGTATGTATTCATTTATTTTGTTTTCAAAATTGAGATTACAATAGTGTGGCTTGTAGTTATTGTAAATCCTAAATAAAAAAAAACTTATTTGGGTTTTGAAACCAGAATATCCAAGTGACGAAATTGTAAATAAATCCTTTGTTGCAAGAATGTAAACTTGTAAATCATTGTTCACTACAAATCTGTCAACCACTCAATGGCATCTTGAAAAAATAATTGGGAAGTACAGATACATTTCTTTTAAATCTTTGTGATGGAATCAGTTTGTTCTCTGTAGTATTCCAAACCGAGTCACAACAGTTTCCAGTATGTAGATGTTTCACTTTATTTTGCGTTTTGTTTCCATTGATGTTCATTGGAACTGTCTGGTGAATTGTTAAAATTCACATACTGTACAGTATCTCTCCAACACAACTGTGAAGAACATTACCATGATTTCACATAGTATCTTGGAAATAGCACTTGCTTCCATAGAAGAACATTACCCATGATTCCACATGGTATCTTGGAAATAGATAATCACTGATTTTGCATTCCATAACAAGTGATGCATTCCATATTATTTTGTAACAAGTAACTTGTTGCAGCAGTAAAATTAAATACATTTCTGTACAATCAGCTTATTTGGGTGGCACCAGTGGATGTAATGACTAACATTGTACCAAACTATATTTAACAAAAAAGGAAACATTAGTATTGTAAAATTACCTGTTGTACAGTAACAATAGGGGAGGGGACGCGAAGGGAGGGAGAGGCATTTACACATCAGTTTAAACAAAAACAAAACTTACCGTTTTATCTTGCTAAGAATCATATTTTCATACATACAGTCGTAATAAAGTTAGAGTGAATTAATTAAAATAAAAAAATTAAAATGAAATCTGTTGAGCATTTCATACTACAACTTGGAGTCACAACTTGTAATCTCATCTTTTAATTTCAACTCAATGGTTATCTATATGCACAGCTGTTTGTAGTATGTGCTAATTGATCTAGCCTGTTTTCTTCTTCAAGTCTATATTGTAGATTAGCTGATGATTTCAACCTTGTTAACCGTTCATATGTCATTGGTTCAATGACACAAGATGCAAGTGATTTTACTCTGCTAATAGCAACATAAGAAACTCCAGCAGTTCTTTCAGATTTGCCAATATCTATCCATGCTTTTGGAAGTGTAAGTCCTTGGCTCTTGTGTATTGTTAGAGCCCAAGCAAGCCTAAGAGGTAACTGTTGCCTCTCATGGAAACCTATTTCTGTCTGTGATGTGACAGTGATTGGACATATTGGGATACACCATGGTTGGTTTTCAATAAATACAGGTCCTCTATAGTTTTCAAATTGTACTATTACTGCAATAGGTAGGTCAGGTGGTTGATGGTTGTTCTGATAGATAATGTCAACAACTGTTCCAGTAGCCCCATTGCAGAGGCCAACACTTGACCACAAATTCATGGTTAACATGACCCTAGCACCCTTTGCCAGAAACACAACAGGTTCTAACCCAGACATATCATCTGAGGATATCTTTTTGGCCAATGCTGATGAATGGCGAGCATTAATATGAGCAACTGGATGCTCAAGTTTTGTTAGCTGCTCATGGTTGTAATTGCCAACTTGTTCATTACTATAAAAGAGTCTAGTAGAATCTTCAAAGTCACATAAATTAGTGACATTTGATGGTTGACGTGTCAGAAGTAACTTCCAGTCATCAACTGTTGAGTCACCTTTGCGAAGTCGTAATAACAAATCTCTGAACTGTACTTGCTCAGATGTCATACCTTGCACACGTTGATTTACAGTGAGTTTAACAACTTTGTGAAACATATGATATGCTTGATAACCTTGTTCACCAACAGCGTTTGATGGTTTAGCATGGTAAAGAGGTTTATCTGCTACTGGTGGCAATTGACCTGGATCACCAGTTAAAATCAATGATTTTCCTCCAAATACTTTGTCATTAGAACCACTCGCTTGTTTGCAACGCTTGTCTATCCAACCAAAAGTAACTTGGCCAAGCATGGAGTATTCATCAATAATGATGTATCCAATGTTATTAACACTCTCTTGTAACCTACACAAGCTTCGTCCTGTTAGGTCTTTATTACCTCTTGATCCTATAGGTAACTTTAACAGAGAATGCACAGTTACACCTCTAATGTTATAAGCTGCTTTACCTGTGGTAGCAGCAACAGCACATTTACTTTGCAAAAGATTTCTAATGGCATTAATAAGGTAACTTTTACCAGTTCCTGCAACGCCATTTATAATGAGACATAGTGGTTCTTTCTCGGATGATGTATCATCAAAATGAGACTTAACAATGTCATAAGCAAGTTTTTGCATTTCACTAAAACTGTTGATGTCAACAACATCATATTGCTCATCAATAGTGTATTCCTCTTTGTTTGTTTTTATCCATGTCGGCATTTCTTGGATTTGTTGTTCTGAATAATTGGCTCTGTCGAGATGCCAGTCATATGTGGATTCTGGTGTTTGTTCAGAGTTTTCAAAAGGAGTGTTGAGGTCTGATAATATCATCCACTCTTCTCGAGTTGTCTCCTGTTCTTCAGAAGGTTCATCTTCTGGTTCTTGACTTTGAATGACACGTTGTAATTTATCAAACCAGTCAGGGACATTAGACTGCCCATAAGGTGTTTGTAAAAAGTCATGCCAACAATTGATCAGAACCTCGTCAGTTGGTTCTTGGTCACCCCATGCATTATTTTGGGTTGTTCTCCATGGTTTATATCTCAAAAGTTGATATTTACAATATAGGCTAAAATTTGGACCTTTGGGATTAGGAGAATATGTTGGAAATATTCGTGGTATAATATTCTCTGGCAATTTTGTCAGTTCATTGTTAGCAACTCTGTATGTTGTAGCAAATTGAACAAAGTTCATATTTATTATATTTTGAGAACTGTCATATTGTTCACGATTAGCGTACACATCAAGAAGTGAATAATCGGTGCACGATTCACCCTCGTCAATACTTACACTATCACGCACTCTACGTGAACCATTTAGACTAACTGGCATCACTTTAAAGGATGAGCTGTGGAGTTTTAAAGACAACAAATGATGCATGGTTTCTTGAGCTGCATAATCTCTTTCACCAAGAGATTTCATAACTATCTTCTTAATAACTCTATGAGGGTTAGTATTACTGTCAACATTTTGGACAATAGAATTGAATGCTTGTTTCAATATAGGTGATCTTGGCTCACCTTTAGCTGCATATTTTGTGAGATATTCAACACAAGCATAGTGATCAATAACAACTTGGATATCACAGTTAGCTCTCCATCCTTGGAGCTGAAGTTGTTGATGGTTATTTAATCTAGAGTCATTTCGTTTAGTCACAATTTTAGCTCGATAATGCTCATTATCACCTGAAGTGTGAATTTTTTCAAATTCTAATTTTGTCTTAGGACAAATATCAAAAGGGAAATGAAATCTACATTTCAACTCTGTTTCATTTGACTTCCTTCTAAGACAATAACTTGTACTACAACGAGTGTGTCGTTGAACCATGTTTAATAGATCTACATAATCTGATTGTTTTTCATGCTCAGGAATGTCATGATGATTTCTTTGACATGGATGAACCTCAGGTCTTATCCACATGTCCTCATCTGGTGGATTAGGATTGACGGTTGATAGTAACCAATCAACATACTGACATACTGTGTCAGCTGCTTTCTGACCATCTTCAATATCATGGTCTAGCTCAGTTGTGTCAGAACAATCATTTTCATCTTTAAATTTTTGAGCTAAGAATCCTTTTAGAGCAGTCTGAGTAAGTTGACACAAACCTGGGTCATTATTTAGTTTAGCAGTACCATGGCAATGAATACTACCTCTACCTTGATATTCATATCGAAACCAGTGCCATTTTGCACCAAGTGTATCATAAAGCCAGTGTTTCACAAAGCTTTCTAATCTTTGTGTGAAAAACCAATCTACAACATGGGGATTGTTGATCACATTTTGTCGTCTGATCTGACTGGTAGCGTTACCGGTCTTTGCTCCAAAGAGAGCATGTAATTCAGGCCAGTGCATATCTGCTGATGAGAAAGTAAAGAACAATGTTGGTGCTCCAACATTAGTTATTATAGCTTTGAGTTCCTCTCTTACTTTATTCCAGTAAGCATTAGTACCTGCAATATTAACTCAGCTTTATTGATGTCCAATGTATCTGGACACTTTGGACATCAATAAAGCTGAGTTGTCACTTGCAGCCATTTCACGTAGCTCGTCAATAGTGAGGTGTGTTTCACCTGGATTTTGTTTAGTGAATATTCCACTTTGTTGTAGTATACGTTTCCTGTGAATCATATTGAATGCCCAGTATGAAAATCTAGGGTGGTTAGCAAAACGATATACCCATTTACCATCAATAAATTCAGAAAATTTCAAAAGATGCTTAATTCTTTCTTGAAGGGGAACATTCCTCAAGATACTTTGATTAGTGGGATCACCTTTCCCATCAGGAAATAATGTTGGAAAAGCCATAGTGGCCAAATGTGATATCTGATATTCATTTAATGGCTCACATTCAATATCAGGCCATGGTATCGGTTCATTTGCAGAAAGCTGATTTCTAACTGCTTCTATTTCTTGTTCCTGCTGTTCACCAACAGGCAAGAAACTATTCATGTCTGTCGAGTTGTTATACACTATATCTTCAGAAGGGTTATCAGTGGGTGGCCCCAAATCTGACATAGCATCATCATTTGAGATTATTTCATTTTCAGTCTCAACTGTCATGAGATCTGCTGGAATGCCATTTTCAGGTAAAGAGTTTAGTGCATCTTCATTAATTTCTAATTCATCATAATGAGGATTATTTTGCACAAGCCATAATAATGCATTATGTACTTTTTCTCTTCTCACAGCAACATCTCTAAACGAGTTATCTTTACCTTTGACTTTGACAATAATCACGGACAAATCTTTGGGATATCTTGGCAATGATGTTGCAAGTTCCTTAACATTTTGCGGCAAATTAACACAATGACCTGAGTAACCTCGTTGTCCACCAGGCTTAATGTAAACTCTCATGATAGGAAGAGCACGAGCAACTAACATCTCCTCTACTTGAGTTAAATTTTGTAACTCAGTTGGCACTGGAGAAGGAATCATTGAATTTTGTGTCTCGAGCACATCGAGAGCATATATAACAATCAGGTGACCTTGGTTTAGAGTTCAGTGGCCATGCTTCATGACATATGGTGCATTGATTAATAAAAAATTCAATAGATTTATAAAATTTATTAATGTTAAATTGGGCCCAACTCTGTTCATGAATACTACCATCTTTTTCAATGTCATATTTGTTTAAATAATCCTGTTGGCTTACAATGTGAGTAGAACATAAACGTTTTCTCTTGTTCTGATTGGCACTGGCAAGACATGCTTGCTTTTCAATCTCAGTTTCCTGTCCTTGTTTTCTTTTTTCATAATTTCTAACATTTCTAAGTCTAGTTTGTTTCTCATTCTCGGTTTCTGAAGCTCGTTTTGCTTTTCGATACTCTCTAGCATTTTCAAGTCTAGTTTGTTTTTCAGTTTCAGTTTCTGCTGCTTGCTTTGCTTTTTTATACTTTCTAGCATTTTCAAGTCTAGTCTGTTTCTGACTCTCAGCTAATTCTGAATACTTTTGTTTCACATGCTCTTTTGCACTTTCACTTGAAGCAAGTCCACTTATTTGTGTTATATCAGAATTTAACTGAACAGTTACTCCTTTAACTTCGAAGGGTGTTTCATTACCCGGAGGTATGGTACTCTGGAAATATATCACCAGGCTTTCTATACTATCAACGGATGCTAATATGCATTTTCCAAAAGGGTGTGGGATCCCATATAAATCTCTTGAATGAGAATCAAATACTTTAAAGGTTCCTTCAGAAGTCTTAAAAATTGCAACAGTATTACAACCAATCGTCAACATACAATGTTGATAATTTTCCATAAACAGCATTAAGTCACCAGCAAACGGTTCACCATATTGCATACAATAAATGCCATCAAAAACCGAAACCATTTCAGGCACGTCAGTTAAAAGCAAATAGCTTTTCTTAACAGAATTGCTTATAAAAGAATAAAGGTTATTTCCAGCACACAGTATGGAATTTAATACAGTTGAATCCCATGCATTTGCATTTGTGATATGATTATATATTATCGCAGTCAAAGACATTGCTAAACATTGTTTACCAGCATTTTGTCGAAACTTTTTTGTATTTCCCTGACTAAAATCTGCACATATTGTTTTAGTAGGATCAACCACATCATATATTGTGGGTCCAGGATTTTCCTCTACATCATTTGCCATTCTCAACAACAGTGGAACATACACAATGTAGCCTGACATTTGAGTGAATAACACCATCACTTGATTAAAACGTTTTAAGCAAAATGGTCTGATTATTTTGTGTAGCAGTGGCACAATGGCTTGCTGATTTGATTGTGTGGCAGTGGCACAATGGCTTGCCGATTTTGTTTGTAGCAGTGGCAGAATGGCTTGCTGATTTATTTGTGTGGCAGTGGCACAATGGCTTGCCGATTTTGTTTGTAGCAGTGGCACAATGGCTTGCTGATTTATTTGTGAGGCAGTGGCACAATGGCTTGCCGATTTTGTTTGTAGCAGTGGCACAATGGCATGCTGAATTTGTGTAGCAAAGTCACAATGGCTTGCTAAATTTGGATGTAGTGGTGACACATAAAATATGCTCAAGTAACACATACGAACACATATTAATATTATGAACGTAATGACCATTATTAAAACCAATTGAAATAACATCAACAATATACGACGAAAGCTATCTTGCAAACAAGTCGGGCAATTTTTCATTCGTATACAATTATGTGATCCAATGCGGGCACGATACTGCTCAATTGATATTCCCATAATAACGATATTTAATTAAAAACAATTAATTATCACTGTGATTATTTATACCTTGAAGTACGATGTTCTACAAGCTCAAAAAGATTTTTTACACCACTTGTTTATATGAAGAGTTGTACGGCAGCACCTAAAAAAATTTAAAATAAAAATACAGTTGATTCATTCGTTTCGATGGATAAAACTATTAAATTCGACCAAAACAAATTGTTATATATTTGACAAAACTTTCATCTAATCATCTTACCTTGAAAAATATCTTCGATAAACAGTCAGACGTAGGAAAAATATTTCGATAACAGCTAGACAAGCAAGACATAAAATTTGCAGCAAGCTGGAATCAAAATTTACAACAGGCACGAGACAACGTGTTTAATATTTACAAATTATAATAATCCATGGTGGTGTTCGCGACTCTCAGCAAGGGTATTCGGAAAGTCAAATCGCGATCTGGAGTATGTTATTTAAATTTCTGTGACGTCAAAATACGTCATAAATCTGAAAATCCGTACATGCTAAATCGAGTTGTCGTTCGGCTATACATAACTCGGCCGGAAACGGACTGGTGCGAGAAAAACACATCGTCAAGAATAGTGTGCTGCCTGCGGCAGCAATTATATGAAAAAAAAATTTAGGGGGTTAGTGGCACTTTAAAGCGAGTTAAAACTAACATTAAACCGCACATACTTTAATTACCTTTAATGCGCAGATTAAATGTTGACTAAAGGCAGAAATAACATTTAATCACGTTTAGTTTTATCTTAAATAAAGACAAAACCTAACACATACTGTCGATAATTCAACAGAATTAGATAATGCTGAATATTACAGTATATATAAACATGAAATGTTATACGTTATATCACCTGAATTTAGGCGCTTATATAGACAGCGCAATTCGCTTGGACAGTTGATTCTATTGACATATATAAATATACAAATATAATTTTATCGCCAAAGGCAAAATACCTAAAACAGAAGCTGAGTATATCATTTTTTAGAAGACAAATTTCTTTATTTTGTATATGAACAACATACAATTTCTACATGTACTTACACACGGCTAGTCGTTCTACACAAGGATCTTTCGTATTTCCACTTTCTCCAATAAAATATTAGGTCATAATACACTGCCCTCGATCGTTGCTGAGTATACGGCCTTGGTCTCGTTCTCAATCTGACTCTTTATTTTATTCGTGAGACGCCTTTGTTTGGCATTTCCAAACTCTTTCTCGGCACAAACTTTCATTACGTCTGTTGCGTTTAAGACGTCGTTACTCGGTGTAATTCGGTATTGAGACGTCGCTATTTTGTAGGTAGACAATTGACAATTCTGTTCAGCTTATGGAGGCACTGGGATTGAGCTTCCAGAAGGTTGCGCATTCCACTGGTAGCAAGTGCGCCACTCGCTGTGTGGGAATGCTGGTTAAAATGCGCCATTTCAACCGGCTTTGCGCAAGGTATACCACCAAAAGCTTTACAGAATTGAAGGTTGTTGTATTAAACTGTCGCTGCGAGGTTCTATGTAGGTATAATTTGAATGCTATATTCCCGCGCGCGCTATTTTAAACTTTTCCCGGTCGGGCAGGCGGTGATCGCACTACGACCGCAATGCATCATGAGTAAAATAAAAAATTCACTCATTAGCGTTCTGACGTTCGAGGTGAAAACCAGGGCGCTTATATATAAGCGCCCTGGTGAAAACACTGTGCACGGCCGAGCGATGGGTATATAAAATTGTCTTTTGCCCTTCTTGAAAGAATCAACAGTGGCAGTACATGTCAAAGAACTTCTGGAAAAGTTTGTGCAGTCGATGCATCCTGCTGACTGCACAAAGCGTTGGCTGTGAGTTTCAAAGGTTTGGCGATGATCGCAAGTATGTTTGTTTTAATTTATTTATATGTTTACTTATTGGTTTTTGCAGTGTTTCAGTCGCTAAACTTATGTATATTCTATTTACTTTATTGTTCTTTATATGACTGTATTGTTATTATAATTATTATGCAAATGTTTCAGGGTTGTGGACATACGGTAAAAGTATGCATAGACACGCAAACTTTTCTGCAATATTATATTATTTAATACATATACAATATACAAGCTACTGTAAAATTCCATGTAATTTTAGTTATGCTTTAATAGAATTTGCCCATCATTTTAGTACTTCCAATGCCATCATAGGTCACAATTTCTATAGTTTGACTACACAATCTTACCTAAAAACTATGGGATGAAAATCATAGTCTTCACATATTTTGTATGCCATGCCAGTTCAATTTTTGGTATGATCACAAATATTGTAAATATTATGCAGCATTGAATAGAGATGTTGAGGGGTAGGGGATAATAATGTGACTGAGGTGCTGTTTATATGATCTCGGGTAATAGGGACACTCTCTACCCCCCAAGCTACCCTGGGAGAGGCAAAATTATATTCATTATATAACATTTAAATGCAAGTGTTTATATGGAAAATTTTCAACTCGTCTGGGCTGGTAGGGTCACCCTGGCAGTAGGGACACCCTGTTTACGAAACAGGGTTACCCTTGTAGGAGGGACAACTTTTGTCCATGTGTTTACATGTTTGTCTCGGCTTCCATGGAGTCACAATCTCGTACTTAGAGCCATTCTCGTAGGAAGAGATTAAATGTGCAGTAAAGTTGTCTCGGGTGGGGATTGGGTGTCTCTAGTATCCAAGATCATATAAATACAGTGGCGCCTAAGTAATAAAAAATCATTGCAATGGCAATTTGCAGCTGGAAGAAAAACACCTTGCATAACAATATATGGAGAGTAAGAAAAATGATGTGGTTTAAATTGAACCACATACTATCTAGTTTTCAAGAGCTTTGTTCTAGCCTTCCACTCACTAGAATTTACCCAAAAATTTTTTAAAAAATTCCAAATCCTTACACCTTGCCTGTACCCATCCCCAGAATTTACATTTTATTGGTGCACGGGAATGTCACAACAATTTATAATCCATGCCAATGCCTTGCTAATCAGACGTTGGATCAATTTGTTTTGCAAAATTCAAATTCCTGTTTTTAAATGACACCCTTTTTATGTACAAATGCATAAAAAATTATAGAGAGTAAATTGGAAACTAGTTGTGTGCAGTAAATAACAATTTGTTATTATCTACCTTTCAGCTTTGCTGTGAAAAAGATATTCAATTCAGTACATAATGGCACCATATGAAGCAGATGCACAAATTGCATTTATTGTGAATAATGGATATGCTGGTTTTGCCAGGGCTCCTCGTCCCCAGGCACTTTGATTTGAGGCTGCGGTTTTGCAGTGTCTGAAGATTCAGACCTTGTTGTATAGAGCGTTTGCACTCATTCCCCACGGGCCAACTCAACAAAAGCTATGGCGGCCATGTTGGTGTTCCAGACAAGAGTCTAATTAAAATTGAATTGGAACACCAACATGGTGGCTGTGACGTCATGTGCAAATGCTCTATATCAGTTAAAATGGGATGTTTTTGTTTGCATTTCAATGATGATGGTGGTCATGTATAAACTTAGTAAAACATTGTTCAATGAAGTGTTATAAAATATATGAATAACAAATTTATTGTGATTGTATATGCTTTATAAACAGCACAAGTGTAGTGGGTTTACAGTGTTTTAACAGTTTTTCTACATAACTCACAGCAGCATTCTTAGAACTTCCATCCACGCCAGCCCAGTTTGTGTTTATAGGGAGAAAGTTTTTTCAGATTGGTGCACACACACCCCTAGCCCTGGCCAGGAGGGGTGCAGGGGGGGTGCTATTTTTCATGATAAAGCAAAAAATTATCAGAGACAAAATGAGATTCAGTAATTTGAGTAATAACATGATAAGTGAACTGTGAACAACAATTACAATTCAAATACTGTAGCTAGACTTTGCAGTGGTTAAGCAAGTTGATGGATGTGTAAAGTCACTGGAAAGCAATTGCAACGTACTCGTCCGGGAAAACGGAGTACCCCCCCCCCCCCTACCAGACCATGCTGGATCCATCCCTGTGTATCTGTGTTATATTTACATCCGTAGTAAGGCATTTTGCAGCAATGTGGACTACAGTATGCATGTCATGTTTCAGGTGCTATTTAAAGCTACTAGAAAATACATGCATGCAGAAACCCTCGCCTTGCTGACAAAACCGTTGTATTTTCCGAACATGAAGTATCTAAAGTAGTTGTCATGGTAACACGATAATTTTTTAAGAATATTCTTACAAATGAAAATCGCCTATAAATATTACTTTTAATTACAAAATTATCAATTCCCAAGATATATGTGTTAGGTATGTAATTATACGTAATACAAGCTTCAATTTAAGGTAAAATTCAACCACAAACAATTCACAAAACGTTTTAAAGTGTTCTTTATAAAACTAAACTGCCTTTAACTATTAAATGGCTTTATCGATAAACTTTGAGTTTGCAATAAAATGATTTCAAATTCTCGCTTGCAAATACCTTTGCTTTATTTTTTATTTAAAAAATTCAATATAATAAAAAAGGGAATCAATATTAAAGATACACTGAAATTATATGCTGTCTTGTTTAGTTGTTTCATACACGCAAAGGCCGTCGGGTTTTAAAGCCATTATAAAATCAATATTTAAAACAAACTTACCTTCGTTAACGTCGGCTCCCTTCCTTTAGCTGATTCTTTCGCCCTTTCTTTCTTGAAATTTACAAAATCTTGCAGAAATACGAGCAAAAATGAAGAATATTTGCAAGAAATTTATCAATCATCCGACGCATCAAATCAAGAAATGTTTGCTATTTCGCTGTCGTCATGCAGTCGTTACAATGCAAACTTTAAATTGGACCAATCAGTGTCCGTTATTCATGACAGTCCGCCATATTTTTGAGATCAGTGAGGATGACCACCCATCGTTGGTGACCGACGTCCGCGCTCATTGATGAACTTTAGACTCCGCTAATGCTTTCGTTTCCCCGGGTGTAAATAGCCGGGGGGAATTAGTACCCTCGCACGGCGCTTCGCGCCGCCGGCTCGGGGACAAACAAATGGTATGGGTAACTTGGTGGAAATGGCAAAAATTTTAACACATCTAAAATTAACCAAGGAAAAGTTTACTGAGTCATTGCCAGTTGCTCCAACTGACTATAATACAAGAAACAGTTCCAACAAGCACAAATGGTTTTTCACCACCAGACAGTCCTTGATCCTGTCAAATATGAAACAGTCCCATTATTAAAGTCTGTTCTTCGCCTCTTCGGTTGTCCAACAGTCTGCCATTGGTCTTGCTCATTTTTCATTTTGACACACATTATTTTTTCCATTTGAAAATGTTTTTTTGCTTCTCTTTTGCGTTTATTATTTCTTTGCCGCTTTGTTTTTTGTTTGCCTGGCGTATGGGACTCTGGGATGCACGAACGCTTCCCCAAAATAGCGGGAGAACATGAACTCTGGACAAGAAGACCTGAAATTAGCAAAGGAAATATCATGATTTAAAAGCCCCAAAAAGATACAATATTGAGGGGCGCCAAGGGGCGCCATTAAATATGGTCATAAATAATGATCATAGATTATGCCAATTGCAATTTTAAATGTGATGTGTGAACGGCTAACCTGTGACATGAAAAAGTAAACAGACCAGTGTATTTGGGAAAAATACACGAGCTTACAATCAAATGATATTTTTTATCGAATTCCAAAAATTATCGATTTGAAAAGTAACACAGCATAACAATATTACATGCAACTTCCTTTTTAAGAAAAAACAAAAAGTTTAAACTTTAAAACGTGGCAGAAAATAGAGCGCCAACATACCTTTCATCGTGCTCGAAATCCGCCATCTTGAAGAAAATATCCAAAATAATGCATTTCGGTCGTAGTGCGATCACCGCCTGCATGCCGGTCGGGTAACAGATCTATGGTGGCCCAGCAGCGCCATAGCATTTTCCTATATTTTTATTTAATTAATTACAATACACACTAGCAAAGTAAAAACATATTAAGATTAAATTTAAAATAAAAAAGAAACAAAATAAAAACAAATTAATTAAAACTAAAACTGAATAAAAATAAAATGAAAATTCCACATGGCCCATGAGCGCCATAGCATTTTCCTATATTTTTATTTAATTAATTTTGATTTTAAATACATTTTTTAATAAAAATACAATACACACTAGCAAAGTAAAAACATATTAAGATTAAATTTAAAATAAAAAAAACAACAAAATAAAAACAAATTAAAATCAAAACTGAATAAAAATAAAATAAAAATTCCACATGGCCCATGAGCGCCATAGACCAGAATTGGGTCATTCCAGAAAAGATCCATACCCCCCCTCCCTTCGGAGGAAATCGAAAATAACCCCCTCCCCCCTTCGGACATCCTTGAATGGTTCATCCTCCCCCCCTCTCCGGACATCCAAGCCCAAAATTACCCCCCTCCCCTTCGGGCATCCACTATTTCTAAATTTTTCTAAAGGCTACCTCGCCGTTTGAAAACGTCACCGAAAATTAGACTACGTTCAAACTACGCGCGAGCGAACTAATGCGGGCAGAATTTACGTGTGTTCATACTACCGCCATTACAGTTTGTTTACAAATTGAATTAGCACTCGTGTAAACCCAAAATATTTCAAATAGACCCAAGAAATTTGACTGAAAAGCATTCAAGTTTACACGTTTGTGTTCACACGAAGCTATCAAGCGCTCCGCCGTTTTCACCTCGCTCCGTTTAGAAACCGTGCTCAAATTGTTACGGCAAAAGTGACGTGAAACTGTGAAAGTTTTCAAACGATTTGCTCCAGCGTAGAGTGAATTAGCGATGGCTTATTGTGACTTTTCTACGCTGTTCTCAAATAGCTCTGGCGTGGCGGAACACTTGGCGGCTTCTTGTGACTTGCGAACACAAACAGGTGGCAGGTTTTGTCGGATAATTTGCAGAAATTCACTTCGAAATTTGTTCAAGTAAAATCCGGACTGAAATTCGATGTAACTTGCGACTGATTGACAAGCGTTGCTGTGTTTACTTACATGTTAATGCATTTTTTAGTATTACTGCATTCCTTAACCTCGCCCTTAATATGAAAGCCATTTCTATTTTCTAGATACGCACCTCGCAAGGAAGCTTTATTGACTATATACTAAAACAAACTGTTTTGAGTTCAGTTCACATAGCAGTCTCTTAACTCGAGCAACAGTTTAATAACTATTATTTTTAACACTTGAATAATTCAAACTTATATATATACGAACGAGTCATTAGTATTAACAGGGGTTTGTCAAACTATCTACCTGTCTTTCTGTTAACCCATTTATATTGTTCGCTGTATTGTTTCACAAGAAGTAATTGACATTAATATGGGTCTTGCCTTTCAAAGCTATTGTGTTGGATTTGGATTGAATGCTTCTAAATCATAACCAGAGTGCAACCATTCCTTACTCTGGACTACTTTTAAAGGTGGTCAGAAATAGTCAAGTGGCATGTTCTGTCATGTCTTCCGTCATGCACAAGGAGTGGACTTAATGCCCCCAACAACTAAAGTGATCAAAATCTTAATTTTCCAGAGCTTAAATCCTTTGCAAAAAAATATTTGATTAATTCAAGATTTATCTATGTGTCATTTTATTTTTATTTCAGAATGCTTATCGCATTCTTAATGATTCCAGTACTGCAGAAACAGTTTGATTCATTTAAAGATACAGTGTGGAATTGTCACAGAATCCGTACCCAAAAAGAAACACTTCTTCCCGATGGGGTTCCGAATCATATGTACGACTTTCCAGAAGAATATGGCTTAGAGAAATGTGGTAAGGAGTAGATATGTATGTTTAACCCATTCAGCTGCAATGTGGTCTACTTTTTTTTTACTTGTCTAACGCCATACGATTTTACTTGTCAATGGGGAAACTCTGTTTTGCCACAATGTGCATCGCCACAATGTGCATCTTTCTTCTAACGCTTTTTTTAGGGTGGCCTGTAACAGAAGACCAGTTGAAAGATGTAGCTGAGTTGTCAGGAGTTTTAGAGCTAGATGATGATTTTATACAAAGTGAATCTCGGGAGAAATGTGAAAGAATTATTCCTTTTCCTGGTGATGTAGAACCTGACCAATGTGCAGATGCCTATGTTTACCTCAAAGACAATTTTTTAAATAGCTGATAACTTTTATGTTGTTTTTATCACAAGAAGCCCCAGCTCTGTTTATGACATTGTACACCCTAACCTTTGCTAGAGGCTGCCAAAAACTTGGGCAGACAATGTCATGTAGGCATAAACAAAGCCTGGGCTTCCTGTGGTTTTATTTATCACTTTTTGAAATACTGTACACCACAGATGATCACTGGCAAGCAAAATGATGTTGCACAGTGAGTTAAGGTTTTGTTTCTTGTTGGGGGAGATCTGCCCCCCCCCCCCCACTGTGTTAATAATAACAAATTGTATATACATACCATTTAGTATCTATTAACATACAAAGTTTAGGGGATATAACTCCCTTTTGCCGGTCCATAGGAGAAATGGGTCTCAATGAACTATAATGCAAAATAATTTCATACAATACAGACAGTAGTTTTTATCACAAACATCATAAAATCTGTTCACCAGAAATTTGTACAGATTTATTTTCATAAAATATCATTTTCAAACCAGCTATCAGTTTGATAACTTATATTAACAAATCATTTGAAAGTGTCTTTGATTTTAGAACATAAACAGGATAAACCAACAGTAATTTATGTAGTAATATTATAAATAATACATGCACTGATGTAGTTATCTTTACTAGTAACTTCAATGTTAATGTCTTCAATGTTATAAAAACTTGCTCTAAATGGATTCTAAATTTAAATATCTGCAATACCTATTGCATGTATGGATACTTATAAAATTGTCTATAGCAACCTCAGATAAATTACCAGCTGCAAACATCACCTCACTTTCTGATACTAAAACTGCAGAAGCAATTTCCGGGTCGAACAAGTTAAATCCCACTCCTTGAATGTCAACTACCATAACTTGCTTCTTTGACTGAATGTACGAAAAATGTGTTAAGCATTCAGCCTTCTGTACCAATTCATCCTCTTGGCTTTCACAAATTCCACCATCGTTATTAATATATTTTGTGAATGTGCCATCCACAAATTCTTCAACAATAACATACTCTCCATCAGGCATTTCTCCTAAGTAAATACTGCGGTATTTAAGAGTATGACCAAATGCTTCTGAAAGGTTATCTTCTGTAACTTTTTTTGAAATGTTTTCAGCAAAATTTTTGGCCAAGTGATGCATTTGTACAACCTACAAGGTAATTAGGTAAATGATATATCTTGATGATTTAAAATAATAAAGTAAAACCTACATCATGGCTTAGTTTATTTCAAGCATCTTTGAGGGTGCTTATAATTTGAGAGAAGATTCAATAGGGGGGGGACTTTAATGAAGCAAGTACAGTAAGAAACAGTAAGCTAATGTGAAATTGGAATTCTAAGTAGTACACACATTTTTTTGTTGTGAAGGGAGCTTGACAGCGATGAGGGGGGGGGGTTTATTGGGGGAGGGGGTGCAAATTGGGGATTTATGGTAAAACTAATTCAATTGCTAAAAATAAATTCTAAGATCTAAAATAAAAACAAACTTCTATATTAAACTTTTCACACTTAATAGGTATTCCCAATGCACCAGGTTTCCCTTGAAGAGTAAAATTGTATAACATTAATAGACAGTAAAGTAGGGTACATTTTCTTAGGGGGGGATGGCATTCGATTTAATCAAATAACTGACCTTTCTTAGTTGACTTTCTACCGTTTGGTTGATTTTTTCAATTTCTGCAACTGCCTCAGGTTTGTATCTCTTTACAACCCATGTTTTATCACAAAAATCTTTGGTACTTGCTTTTGCCTTGTATGCCTTCCTGAAACCACCCTCACCAAGAACATCACTGCATATTTCAAATTCGACTGGCACTGGAATAGCTGACCATATCAAAGACTCAAAATTAAATGAATACAACTTTATTAATGTTGTTTTTGTTTGCACCAATTTACCCAATTGTAGTATGGTTGATACCGACAAACTTTTAGGCACGAGCTTGGGTTTTTTATTCATCCTCGGTGGCGAACCAAAGGCAAAGCTTCTGGGAACCTTCACACTCTGGCCAAAGTCATTCACACTCTGATTACTCGTTTCAGGACAACTTTGACTGGCTTCAGCTTTAATTTCCTCGATCGCCTCGAGGCCCTCGAGGTCGCCATCAATCTCAGGTATGAAACGAACATGTATGAGTTTCAAGTTCGGGATTTGTTTGATGGTTTTACATGAAGGGCCTTGATCACCGGCCAATATATCACACACCATCCCTGGTCCCACACTTTTCCTGTAGTACGCCGTACATGCTCCTTTAATGTTTTCCACCGTCATCTCCATATCGCTAAATTCGACAAATTCGCGCGGGCCAACTCGACTATATTTTTGGGCTTTGCCATGAACTTCAGCGCTTAATCGTTGAACTATCAACTCCTCCTTCTCGCCTTCTTGACCTTTGCCTTTCGTTGTCTTTGTTGCTTTCTTCACACAGCGTTTGTCCTTCATTTTCTCTTGAAATTTTCTCCACGTGTTTTGTTTGTCAGCCATGTTTTGACAGTTTAAAGAGGAAAGGGCAAACTCAAAGGGCATCTCGCTCGATGCCCGCTTGCAGGTTAAGGGAATGGGCACGTATGGGGAACGTGATTGGGCAAAGGCTGCTGTCCACCGCCCGCAAGGCATTTTGGTCTATGGTGCTCATGGGCCATGTGGAATTTTCATTTTATTTTTATTCAGTTTTGATTTGAATTTGTTTTTATTTTGTTGTTTTTTTTATTTTAAATTTAATCTTAATATGTTTTTACTTTGCTAGTGTGTATTGTATTTTTATTAAAAAATGTATTTAAAATCAAAATTAATTAAATAAAAATATAGGAAAATGCTATGGCGCTCATGGGCCATGTGGAATTTTCATTTTATTTTTATTCAGTTTTAGTTTTAATTTGTTTTTATTTTGTTTCTTTTTTATTTTAAATTTAATCTTAATATGTTTTTACTTTGCTAGTGTGTATTGTAATTTTATTTAAAAATGTATTTAAAATCAAAATTAATTAAATAAAAATATAGGAAAATGCTATGGCGCTGCTGGGCCACCATACATGTGCATACCTGGGTCATTTAGAAACACGCCCAAGATCTAAAATCCTATCTAAAATCTAAAACCCCTTAGACTAACAAAGATTCGTCAGGTGAACCTAATGTAAGTATTTTTAGAGATTTAATTAGCTAGCTACAGAAAATTAAACCATCTTTCCATGAAGGTCTACTGTAGTAAGGGTCATCCCTTATAAACCAGTATTTAGTTTGTCTTGCCCTAATCTAGCCTCCTGCGCAGGCGTTGTTAGTGGCCGAGCCCCCCCCCCCCCACCTAACGTCTGCACACATTCGCTATACATTTGACTTCCCGGCAGTTTATATGAGCCATTCTAATTAATATACATACCCCAACCATCTGATGCAAACCCTTCATAATTGAAACTCTCATATGATAACTTGCATGCTAGTATACTTGCAATAAATAATACGAGGTAATGTATAAAAAGACAAATTCAATGTATTAAACAACGACTATTAAAATGCCCGATCGATTCCTGTGGCTTTGAAAATTACAAAAGCGAACACATTTTTAGAATTTATTATAATACATACCATTCTTTAATCATATCAGCTTCATGCATCAATAGCCAAAGCACAAACCATTTTGTTATACACTTTGTTGTTAATAAAGCATTCGTCTCCATCGTTCTGTCTTCAACAATGACTCTGCCTGTGCCATATAATACAGAATATTTCCCTTCTTCCATTCCAATGCCTTCGCTTCTTCATCGCTCTCGATTCCACTTAATAATGACACAGCACTGACTCCTAGCTTGACGTGTAGTTTTTTTTACTTGATTTCGCAATGCTTTTCGAAGACACATCGTCTATATTTCTCTTTCGACACACTTTAAATAATTAATTGATTAAAATCATGTTATATACAAATAAAAACTTTTTACAATGTTTACAATTTGTTTAAATATTTAAATCCAAATATTACATCGAATAGCTTAGGTAACTGCCTGATAAATAAGTAATTTCCTGCGCCAGTTGTGAGATTGATGAAAACATCCTTTTCGTTTACAATGGAATGAAGGCCTTCTTCTGATACGCGCAGTATTAAAACTTTCAATTTTAAAAATACTACAGACTTGTTGATATAAATAGCCCATGCATGTGAAAGTCAGTGAAGGTCGATGTTCCAATTATCGTGTACTTGATTGTGATTGGTTAATTGCCAGGAAGTCAAATGCAAGGCTGCAAATTACTGTCGGATATCCGCCTAAATTTGGCAAATTTCCGAGGGGTAGGGGTAAAACGCTGAAACTGAACCGCGGAAGCGGAAACTGAAAGCGGAAACTGAAATGGGGGATAAAACGCTGAAATGGGGATAAAACGCTGAGGTGGGGGTAAAACGATGAAATAGGGATAAAACGCTGAAATGGGGAGAAAACGCTGAAATGGGCAAATTTAATCAAATTCGTTGTTTGCTAGACCATTGCGAACACATGTAATTTGCCTACAGCTATAAAGCTGAATAAATATAAGAAAGAAGTTACCTGGTAAAATGACAACCACAAATTTTCGCCATGCTTTTTAGCCAATCAAATTGCTTCGTTTGCGGTCCGGTTTTTCACGATACGGACCGCTCAACCGGACCGCTGCGGATTTTAAACTTAAAGTAAACAAAATAAATTATACTTTCTACTGTTTGAAATTAAGAAGCAAAAATATGTATAGCGATTACGAAAGCCACAGGAAAACAACGAAATTTGGAATGAAGGGGAATTTTTTAACTCCAAAAACGGTGCCAAAAGGCACACATAGTTGAGTTCGTGCCTCACTGAAAAGTTGAGTTCGAAGTTATATGGAGAGAATTGTAGATGTATTATTAATAAAAGATAAACTTTGAGATAAAATTCGTTCTTCGAAAACAGTTTGTGGTTGTCATTTTACCGAGAACTTCTTTCTTATATTTATTCAGTTTATAGGCAAATTACAAGTGTTCGCAATGGTCTGGCAAACAACAAATTCGATTAAATTTGCACATTTCAGCATTATATCTTCATTTCAGCGTTGTATCTTCATTTCAGCGTTTTATCCCCATTTCAGCGTTTTATCCCCATTTCAGCGTTTTATCCCCATTTCAGTGTTTTATCCCCATTTCAGCGTTTTATCCTCATTTCAGTTTCCGCGTTCAGTTTCCGTTTTGTCCGCGCGGATTCAGTTTCAGCGCTTTATCCCCACCCAATGTCCGAGCAACTTTTGCTCGGGATCACATAATCAGATAAATTTTTTTGTTGTGACAAAATCCGATTGCAAATTCACCCAATTCGCATTTTGCAATAAAACTTACGAGGCGTTCTAGCATTTACTTTACAGTTTACTTAACATTGCGCCGGAATGGCATACATACTTGTCTTGTGACTTACAGTATATATGTCTTGTGATTTATATATATATATATCTATATGTCCGACCAAATTTAGTTATGTTGGTTTTTGTCCGACAAAATTCAAGTTATGTCCGACCAAATTAAAATTAAAAGTGATCGGACAAATGTCCTGTCAAGTCAAATATTTATTTGCAGCCCTGCTGAAATGTATAGCGAATGTGAGCAGACGTTACTGTAGGTGGGGCCTCGGCCACTAACAACGTCTGCGCAGGTGGTTAGCTCTAATCAAGCAGGGCTAGTATTGCCAAGAGACTGCTACACTAGCTGATGTATATAAAATTACTAAAATTTTCAAGCAACGTGCTCCTCTTGCGCAGTTTAATGTGACTGTGTAAACGTATTTTAAAAGGATGTACTGTGATTGCCTGCCCCCCCCCCCCCTAGACTAACAAATATTCGTCAGGTGAACCTAATGAAAGTATTTTTTTATAGAAAATTAAGCTTTTAATGTCAGATAGCTCCACTTGAAAAACACACGTACAGACTCAGGGCCGTAGCTAGCATGTGTAGTTTGGGGGGGGGGGGAGAAGTGAAGACCAAAAATTTCCGAATGACGAAAAAAGATTCCGAATATATCATGGCATACGAAGCCACGAAGGTGTATGCTATCCGGGAAATGAAGACGCAATTTACAAACAAAAACACACATATTTTACGCAGACATATTACAGAAGTAGGCAGTGCTGTGGGAAGCCTTTTTATTGGAGGTGGGGCTGAAAACGAAGGTCCGAGGAAATTTTTAAATTTAGAGTCTCTGAAATGCCATTTCCTGGATTTTGGAGAAGATTTGACAGAATTCTGATGGTCAGAAAACAGCGTTTTAGTATGTCGTAATTTACAATTTGCTTACAATTTAGTAGCGAAGGCCTATTTCATTAACTATATATTGGAAAATTTGCAAGAAAGTATGAGTAATATGATTTTTTGCAGTTTGTCATGGATAATGTAGCCGCTTAAAATTAATCAACTGTCAATATTTTAAAGGTATATTATTTGATAAAGGTCTGCATGATTTTGAAAAAAGAATAATTTTTATCAAATTATTGAGAGGCTGCAACCCCCCCACCCCCCTACCCCCCAGTTGCTACGGCCTTGAGAAGAAAAAAAGAACCCGAAAATATTTACTGATTTACCACTTGTTAAATGTTATCCATGTAAATGCCATGATTTCGTAAATCATTTTAAACTACTGACAATACAACTATATTTTATTTTCTCTCTTTAACAACTAAAATGTTGTTATACTATTATTGCCGTAATTTTCCGAATGGCCAACCCGATTTTCCGAATATGTTAATTCTAAAAAAGTTGGGGGGGGGGAACCCCCCCCAATACCCCCTCGCTACGGCCTTGCCTACAGTACATTACACTTGCTCACTTAAATTAATTAACTAACTCATCTTTAATACACATACAGTATTACAATGTACTGTATTCTATAGATACTGTATATGTGGTATTCACGTATGGTTTTCTTTTCTTTAGATTTCTAAGGATTCTGCATTATTGGTGACGCTTTTCTATACAAAGACGAAACAGCTGCAAGACTTAAAACCTGACCGTGTAAAAAATTTGTGTAAAGTTAAAAAAATTAAAATTGGCAAAGGCGACACAAAAGAATCTCTCTGTGTGGAACTAGGCAGAAAACTATTTGAAGATGAAGTAGCTAGAATCAATGACAACGACAGAGTGAAGTACAATAACTTAAAACTTAAAAGTGACTCGTAAAATAAACCAACTTATTAGCACTTATTGACGGAGATCGAGGGTAAAAAATGCTCCGTACGTTTTATAGAAATTTTACGCTTTTTATGTCAATATTTCTGTTGCCATTTTTATGAATTTTAACATGTATATACTATATCCCATATTTTATTGTACTATATTTACATGCACGTTGTTGCTCGTTGCAGTAATACTGATAGATTTTTTTAACAAAAAGTTTCTATGCGTTCATTCTGTATATATTATATCATTTTTCTGATCATATAAAATTTAAATTAAAGGGTTATTGAATTTAAATTTGCAGGGTTTTTCACATTATAACTGTTTTTACCGAAATTCTCCATATTAGCCATTCCGAAGTTGATGAGTAGACTGTGGACGAATGTTTTAATAATTGCCCAAATTAAGAAAAGAAGGCCACCTCAAAATTAGTAAGCATACAAAGTTTGAAGAAGTTTACATGAATATCCTCCGAATAATATATAGGCTTTCAAAAATCGCGATATTTACTATGAGACGTATTGTAATTTTTGTTTTTGGGACGCGCGTCCGAAAAACAGTCTTTTAATCACTAATTTCACAATTTTCGAAAGCTGATTATTCGAAGGGTATTCATGCAAACGTCTTCAAACTTTGTATACTTACTAATTTTGAGGTGGTCTTTTTAGCTATTTGATTCATTTCTTAATTTGGGCTTAATTTAACACTCGTCCCCAGTCCTCTCATCAACTTCGGAATGGCTAATTCGTTTCCTACAGCATATTTACATGGTTTGTTGCAGATAAATTTACGTGATTTGTACATGATTCCTTGGAATTTAACACTGCATGATTTTTACACTATATTTACTAGGCTTATTGAATTTAAATTTACATGCTTTTGACACAGTTCTCGAGGAATCTTTTACAGGGTTTTTACATAGTAGATTTGCTTTTTTGCAGGTTTTCTTTCATTTACTTTTACAGCTTTTTTACATTGTTTTTACATAATTTGGACAGAGGAATTTCCACCATTTTTACAATAAGTTTCCAGGTTTTTTAAAATTAAATTTACAGGGTTTTTACATAGTGAATTTGCTTTTTTGCAGGTTTTCTTTCATTTACTTTTACAGCTTTTTTACATTGTTTTTACATAATTTGGACAGAGGAATTTCCACCATTTTTACAATAAGTTTGCAGGCTTTTTAAAATTAAATTTACAAGCTTTTGACACGGTTCTTGAGGAATCTTTTACAGGGTTTTTACATAGTAAATTTGCTCAAAGTTTCACATGGTTTTTCCAGGGTTATTACAGCCTTTCCGAAAAAAGTGTAGATATTTACATTGAATTGACACGGATTTTACATACAATTCAAAAATTTACATACCATGTCAATGTACATTTTTGTTGGAAATTTGGTTTTACTGTAAATTTGCAGTAAAGTTATATCATTTTTCAAAGTATGTAAATCAATTTTTTTTCCCCTGTGTTCTAGCAAAAAAAGTGCATATTAAATAGGTGTAAATTATAAATATGAACTTTGCCTTTGTGTTAAACATATTTTTGTATATTACAGTTGTAAGCAGAATTGAAGCGAAACAAGGACCAGATTCTGCAGCTTGCACAACCACTAACACCTCTTCTGTGAGTACTTTTAATTTAACTAGCCCGGCCAAAACCTTACATCGTCTGGCGCGTGGTTTTAGCTACTTTTGATTGCCAGGTATGATTACTTACGTGTACGTGTATGCACGGTTAATAGAACTAGATGGTTAGGCTAGCTGGACCACGTGACAAATATGTTATTGTTCATTTTTATTTTTGGTCACGTGACGAGGAAAGGGGGTGCTTTGTGATGAGTGATTAGGAAAACATATGAGTGAGAACATAATATGCCAAGAAAAGATCATATTTCAAAGTGCTAGAGGGCTTCTGAGATCAAGATGGAAATTGAAACAGAAAGCGAACAAACATACGAACCTATTTTGAACGTTGGAGATGAAAATATCGAAGAAAGCGAGCGTCGTGAACAGTTTATGATCGAGGGGACGAACGCTTTGTTTATACACCGCGTTTGGATAATTGTATTTTTGCCGTTGTTTTAGTATGTCAGGATACGGTTAAATGTTTGAAGTAATATTGAACAGTATGGTTGGCTCTAATTGTGCTTTGTATGGCTGTCCGACCAGCAGAACGTGTGAATTTGCAATTTTTAAAATCCCTGTTGAGTGTTGTTGGCGCAGCCGATGTAGTCTGCGTAGGAAACTACAGCCGATGGTGAACAAGAAGAGAAATGCTCGCGAAGAATGGCTTCGAATTGTTTTAAAGGACTAGAGAAAAGACGGTAGATCTTCAGAAACAAATAAGATTTTCCTTTGTGAGCGTCATTTGAAGCCATTGTAAATTTTGCATTTTATGCATGCGCTTGTGTGATCAGATGTAAACAAAGAGGGCATTGTATTTGCATATTTACATATCCCATGTCTATTAAATATCTATCTTCTGTAGACCCCAAACGAAAGATTTTATAACTGGTAGCGTACCACTGAAAATTTACCTACAATAAACACGAAGTTCCCAAGGCTGAGCGTCGCATTCTCAACGTATAAATACCAAATAAACAACCTACAAGCTTAGAATTACACACGTTAGTTCAGTGGCTGGCGAGCCTGGCGAGGTGGCTGGTGTGTCCAGTATTGAAATTAAAACTGATGGCAGATTTAGATAATATGCAAATATGGAAAGTAGAAGAAATTCAAGATAACCTAGGAGGTCCAAGGCTCAAAAAGCAATTTAAAATGCAAAAAAAATCTTTAAGTTTTTCACTATCATATGAAAATGGTCTATGCTTGTTTAAGTTGTTTTGTTCCAAAAGTGGTATATTGCATGTAAATATTTTTTGTGGTCACTCGATTTTCATACCAAGATTGGTGAATTTAAGGCCATGATATTATATTATCTGGTATTCAACAGAAATAAAGTCAAATCAGGGTACATCAAAGTTTTAATGGGTTAATTAGGGGCTGATTACACGGAGCATTTTCAACCCTGGGGTTGTCTCCTACAGATCTACAGTTGGGGCCTACAGTTGGGACCTACGAGGCCTGGGCTGAACCCTCACCATTGTCTGTAATACAAAATGCTGTCAAAATCAAATGCATGATTTCAAAATTTTCAATTCAGGGCCAAGTTCAACCCCGCTTCAGCTAGCAGAATTAAATTTCAACTCCAGGTTGGACTTCGCCTTGGGTTGAAAATTTTATCATGTAATCGTTTCAACCCAGGGCTGAAATTATTCATGAGTTACTCAAGCATTTGATGAGGCTGGTTTTTGTTTTCACTTCCGGGAATGTATAGCATTTCAACCCTGGGGTTGAGATTGTCCATGTAATCGCAAAATATTCAACCCAGTTATGTAAACATGGTCGAGTTCAAACCTGTGGTTAAAAGTGCTCCATGTAATCGTCCCCTTAGTGTGGTGTGATCCGCCTACTGTGGGGCAGGGATGTACTGAATGGTGGCAGATTACCATAATCAAATCACTTCTATTTCAACCAGCCAATAAGGTTTAATTAAAAACAATATTGTATAATATATGATAAAATTATGGAATTATGGAAACAGTGTTCTGAACTTCTGACAATCATTAACAATTAAGAAGTTTATCAAGTTTTATATGTTATTGCATCCCCCTTCTCAATCACTCAATGCCTTTTCTTTGACTGCCTTTCATTAATTTAATAATGCTATACTTTAAAGATGCGGTACAGTCCGTATGTAAACAAAGGCTTTGTTTACATTTCGGTATCCAAAATATTGAATTTTATTCCACAACTAGTTATATTCGAGGTTATATTTTCATGATTCTAGAAATTATCAAGAGACAACAATCAAGCTTTGCAAGAACATAAAATGAAATAAAAACCTAACTAAACTGTTTGTAAATAAAAAGGGGACTCCTGTGTGCACATGCACAGATTGGACTGTACATGCCGCATCTTTAATAGTAATAAAGTATCTGGTGTAGGAAAATGCTCCGACTGTTAAATAAAGTTTAACTATATTTTCCGTACAGTTTCTGTGCAGAGTTCGAGGGTTGAACTTCACGAAAAATCAGAGCATTTTCCAACAATGCCGACATTTTGCTGGTATAGTGTTTTATAAAAATCCGATCAAATATGCTCAGGAATATATTTGCTACTTTATAGTTCTCACAATTTTATAGCTGCTCACACAAACGAGAAATCAAGCCATATAAAAACATTCTAAAAGTTTATCTTGATTGTTCCTTGGACAGAATGTTGTGTAAAGTGGCCATGCAAAGCATCGAACAAAGCATCAGTAGAGGAAACAGTAGCCAAACTGACCTGAATCGGTGTAATATAATCAAACCACGTCCTCTAATAGTCAACGCAGCACGAGTTTTGTCTCTCCCGTTACTTTATAGACTTGCACACTATCTCTCACTGACTAAAAGGAAAAACCCTCTCGCCATCAATTTCTTGTATAGCTTCGGTGAATTCAGCGTCTGTTTCGTCTAACAGTATTTCCGTTAGAGCAACAGACACATCAAAGTTGTATAAATCCTCTGCGGTTGCATCATCTAGTTGCGATAAATGTCTTCGCCCTTCGTCCTCTTATGCCTCGATCATAAACTGTTCGCGACGCTCGCTTTCTTCGATATTTTCATCTCCAACGTTCAAAATAGGTTCGTATGTTTGTTCACTTTCTGTTTCAATTTCCACCTTGATCTCAGAAGCCCTACAGCGTTTTGAAATATGATCTTTTGTTGGCATATTATGTTCTCGCCCATATGTTTTCCTAATCACTCATCACAAAGCACCCCCTTTCCTCGTCACGTGACACAAATAAAAGTGGTTCTCGACATAATTTGCCGCTCCCTTTGAAGTTTGCCTGCTAGCCTAACCATCTAGTTCTATTAACCGTGGTGTATGTATATGGATGTGTATGTATTATTTATCAACCTGAGTCATATATAATTTATATATGTCAGTATTTATGTTACTGTACGACTTACTGTTACGGATTGTATATGATTTATTTACCCCATGACCATGTATTCGATGTTCCAATATTGGGACTTTGTTTGAATAAATTATTATTATTTGGCGTTTCGATATGACATTATGTAATGTTCTTCCTGCTTTTTATTGGCAGATACAACCAAGCAATCAATATGCAACTAATAACCTAACGGTAACGCCTTCACCCGTAAATGTTACAACACTGCTACCAGTTTCACCTGCATCACCACAATATCATCATCCATCAACACCATCTTCTCGACCATCTCCATCACATGCCCTATCCACTTCATCCACATCGTGTTCACCTGCACAGCCACAGGAGAGTCAAGCAGCCATCCCACGCCAGTTAAAATCAAAAGCTTCTGCAGCTGGAAATTTTAAAAAGGCTGCACAGATTTTGGCGGTTTCCATGTTTACCGTGGAGGAACGGAAACAGTCCACCCTTACAGGCGGTAAGGGCAAAAACAAACTGGACCCGGAAAGAATGCTGCTTATTTGTGGTTAGTAAATTCAAATTTGACAAGGGGATCTTTTAAAAGGGTAGACTGAGAACAATGTAAATGAACCAATATTGAAACAACCATGCACCACCATAATTATTAATACCTTAATTATTTCATTTATAGATTTTCTACGCCGTATTTATCCTAAAACATTCAATGCCTTCCTAGTCAATCGTGTAGTTGGACAGGTATTGATTGAAACAAGGCTTGGAAGACACCAATTGAATGGCGAAACCGCTGCAACTAGCACTTAAACTGGATTGGGTCATTCCAGAAAACATCCATACCACCCACACGGACGAAATAGGAAGTTAACCCCCCCCCTCTACCCCCTTCGGATATCCTAATACATTTACTATTACCAGAAACAATTTTTTTCTCCCCTCCGGTCGGCAGAACCTACCTCCGAGTATGGATCTTTTCTGGAACGACCCAATGGGAAACGTGACAATCCATGTTTGTGAGTAATCAGTCTTATTTATTTAATCATGTTATCATCTTCTTGCTAACATTGACTTATAAAAGTTTGCATAATTCATATATTTTATATTTAGTACACTCTGATTAACACCATGGTTAAAAATGTCTTGGTTAACCTAAAATTAACACTGTTTGGTGTAACTTAATGTTCCAATTGTTAAATTTCGTGTTTAATCTAATCAGGATTTCTCGATGTATCAACCAAAACTGTGGTTAAATTAACCAGGAACAATTGAGTTAAATCAACCAAACATTTAGGTTACTAATAATGTCAATTAGTCAATTTTATTCGATTCTAATTGATAAACTGTGGTCCGAGTCAGCGGTAATTCTGCATTGAAAATTAATAATGGTAATTGAACTGAGTGGAGTGCAATTTGGACTGAAATCAAACGCGTGATTACAAAATCGCACGACGGCGAAGCGGGAGTTTGTAATCACAAGTTTGATTTCAGTCCAAAATTGCACACACGAAGTTCGATTTCCACTTTATTATATTCATTTTGAAATCTTAAAAACATTTTTGTAAACCGGAAACGTTTTGCTTGCAAAAGACACACCTCCGGTACCTCCCTGAGTGCTGTAGCATAGCAACAATATTAAAGCGAACAAGATAAGGTTTTGTTATAATATTTTATACGTTCAAAAATCTAAATTGTTAAAGAAATCAAGACATTTATAAAGAATAAGAGACAACACAAGTAAGTTTAAAGATATTGGAGGTTTTACGAGTGATTTGAAAGAGTTTTGGTCAGTTTTGTGCGTTTAAAACTGGAAATACGATAGGAGAATTAATACCTTTTGACCCTTTTTTCCCTGATTTAAATAAATTTGCTTTTGTTGGCATTTTGACCATATTTGATAGATGATTATGTTCTTAATTTAGTCCTGTTACTATTTGTGAATTTTGAAAATTTGCAATTCTTTGACAGTTTACTTTAGCTGTCCATATTAGTTTGTTTTTATGTGCAAAAAAATGCTTAAATTATTTTAAATCACTCATGACATGTAAATTTTTTGTTTTTGCTCATTTGCCATATCATATTTTTGTTAAATTTGATTGGCTGTTTGAATTCTATGATTAAATAAGATTGGTTGGCTGAAGTCAGCACTCTAATGTGATTGGTTCATTTCAGCACAAATCGCAGTGCGATTCAGATTGCAGGAAACACCATTGATTTCAAAATGAATATAATAAATTCCATAAGATTACTCTTAAAATTGACCGCAAAGAAGCGTACGGCTGACAGTGTTCTCTAATGAATACATCAATGCATTTTGCTTCTTGCAATTGAGTATTTGTTAATATTTGACTAAAACAAAAATAATATGGAATTACACTTGTTTTCGAAATATTAATGAAAAATCATATAATATAAATAGTTCGCCAAACATTACGTTTCCTTTTTCATTCTTAAACCATGCATGTATTTTAACATGAGAGTGTAATTTTTAACTTTTTGGAGTAAGTTAAGATGTTTGATTAATATATTGAAATTATAACAATGTGTTAAATTGTTTTTACCAGATGTGCATTTTAAGACGAGCGATTGTAAAATACTTGTTTAAAATTTATAATATATATACATTCTCTAATTGTTTGTTAATTATACTATATTGATATCAGCTGAGGTAATTTAGTGCAAGATAATATATTGGCCTGACAGGCTGAGCTGCTGAGATTTGCATGCTGAGTCGCTGGCACTCAGACACATCGTAAGTTTTAAAACTTTGCTAAAAAGTCAACTGCAATTATTTGCGTGTTTAAACTACACACAACAATAACATCCATTCCAATTCAACCAGACTAATAAACAATTGAATTGTGCATAAAATTCAATTTTCAGAAGCATTTGTCCGGTCAGGCAATTAAATTTCTTATTGCAATAATTATTGCATGCAAATCAAATAGCCTGGCAATTATTAATATCAGCAGGCATGCATGCACTCTTACATGCATGCATTACGTTTGCACGCACAATAGCATGCATGCATTACATTTGCATGCACAGTGAGTCTTAGCATGCATGCATAAGTTTGCATGCACTGCAGGCAAAAAGTGCCAATTTGCATGCCTGCTGCATGCATGCACTCAATCATTGCATGCATGCATTCATATTGCATGCATGCATTCGTACTGCATGCATGCAAACAATGCATGCACTCTCTGCATGCATGCACATGCATGCACTGCAGGCAAAAAGTGCCAATTTGCATGCATGCAGCATGCATACTCACATGCATGCCTCATGCATGCTTGCATGCATGCACTACATGCATGCAGCATGCATGCAATAGTTTGGAAGGGATTGTAACCCTAATAATTACACATACATAGTGTAAGCTTTTTGTTCCATAGATAGAGTGAATTCAGTTAATCAGTATTAAAAAAATGGATAGTCTGCAACATTTGGATCGAAGATTAGAGGGTGTGTTTAATTCTAAAGAATTTAAGGATAACATGAACAAATTGAAAGTAAAAATGGGTAAATGACCATATTAGGTTATGTCATAATATTTTAGATAAATAGTTTTAAGTATAAAAGAAAAGAAATAAAAATATTTTTCAGCTGTTTTTTGTTTTTTCACGATATGGCAAAATATGATAATAGTGTCGAGTATAAATGGGAACGAATTGTCTCGGAATGGATGGAGGGTAAAACGTTTGTAATTGTACCCCCAAAAAATTGTATTGCCTCACCACCTAAAGAAGAGTGGGATATTACAACACTAGCACTTGAATTATGAATTGCGGTACGTTTTCTTTCTTCTACGTAAAATAATAACGCTAGCCAGTCTGAACCCGCTTGTTCAGAGTTTGTTTTTTTCACTATGGTAGCGAATGCCAGTATTTAGATGTACATATTGATATGTTGTCGGAGATGAAAAATATGTCATCCCTGTTGGCGCAAACTTATGTCCTGTACCCCATAAAGCGTCACAAGCCATTTCAGTTGAAAATTCTTTTGACTCACGGTAGATTTTATTCATTTTTTTATTATTAGAAAACTCAGTTAAAGCAGCAGACACTACCCCCAGATGTTTCAATTGGCATGAAAAGAAGAAATAAAAAAGATTGAACAAATCTCAATTTATAGGGGATGGATGATGATAGAATAGTAACTGTTATTTTTTACGCAGAGTACAATAATATTCGTTTTAATTTATCTATTAAAGAATTTGAGATTATCTTAAATGATATTATACCGGGTAATGCTAGACCGTTTAATGTAGATTGTGATTTATATCACATTACATATTTGATTCAATTTTGGGCTCGTATAGCTAATAAAATACCTATAAATGAAATGCTATATCGTATACATTTTTTGTATAAAATGAGCTTGTATGGTTATGATTTTTTACAGTTTCATACTAGTCTTGATAGTGTAGTAATAAGTTCAAAATGTGAATATGAAGGGGGCGCTACCGGAGGATCATCTATTAATACTGTATCCAAAAGACATTGTCGTTCCTAATTGTCCTGAAAATTGGTGCATGAATGAATGTGACATATTGTTGGAGAATATTATTTCGCGCTATGTGTGGCGATATTTACACGTTAAAACGCAGGGGCTTGTGAATTTGGATATTTGGAATGCAACCTTTTATATGGTTTTAAACAATCTGTCGGGTATAATAGTCGAAATACAACATACATTAATACGGCAATGGGGTTTCAATGTGAGTGATTTATCTTATCCCAAAATTTTAAGTTTTAACTGTCAACAGATATATCAGATGAGTATGCGTAAAAGACACCGCCGAAAAAACCTATAGTGTTCAAAGATACGAGGATATTGATGAATACGTTGATAATATTTTTGAAGCGTGTTAAAAAAAAAGTCCTGTATAGAAGCTAGAGAATTGCAAGAAATTTTGGAAGAGCTTACGATTAATGAAAAAAAGCAGCAACAAGTTTTTGATCGGATGCGGCAAACTGCAGCTTTTATGATGTTTAAACAACGCTTGTCTGACAAAAAAGTATCATGGAAATATTGGCCCGAAATGATTGACCCAATTCGTAAGCACAAACTAGATATGTCACGTTATTTATTTACCGCAGCTCGTTTGGGAACAAGTGGGGACGATTATGTATTGGACGATTTCATAGCGTATCTATATGTTGTATTACAATTAAAAATTTATAGTGGTATTTTAGAACAATATAGACAACATTTAGAAACTTTAAAAAATGACGAAGAATTGGTGTAAAAATAAAATGTATTTACTTTAACAGCTGTTTAATACATTGATCACAACATTTACTGTTTGTACCCTTCATTTTTTTAAAACAATAATATTTGTCATGATATATGCCCTCAACAGTTTTACTAGTGCTTGTTTCTTTAATCGATCTTTCCTTGATTGGGCTTGATTTTTTTGGCTGGGGCTTGATTGGGGTTCTTTCTCTTTACTTGGTTGCTTTCTTGAGGTTAATGGCTGTTTTTCAATGATATCAATGGGGTTCTCTTTACTTGTGGTTGCTGGTTCGATTTTTTTTATCTCCATGCTTTTGTCTTTGCCCTTGCCTTTGCCCTTTCCCCTTTCCTTAACTACTTCTTCTACCATGGGTACGATGGGTATTAATACATCATTTTGTGTATTCCCTCTCTTGACTGTAAGATTACCCTGTTGTATTTTGTCATCGGTTATTATAACCATTTGTCTATCTTGATTATGTAAAATCGCTAGAGCTGAGGTATATAATTTTTTTGCGTGGATACAATTTTCACAGTCTGAGATTGAACAGCTACTAGCCATCTTGAACAGTATTTGGTTCAGAAATTTAATTTACTACAAATATATATCGGGTTATTTTTTTCTTCTTTACCTTACATGGATAAGTCAAGTTTTCGGATTTGCTAGTTAAATATAATATACCCGTTTCGCCTTATGTTCGCAAGTGTCGCTGTGGTTTACGTAATGAATGTATCGAATCAGTTATATGGGGAATATGTAGGAAAGATGCACGTATAATACGTCGAGAATGGTCGTTGTATCATAAAAAAAGTGAAAACAAGTGGTAAGATATTTATTTTTTATTTTAAATTATATTTTTTACAATTTAAATGTATTTTTTTTCTACCAGTCCAAGAACATCCACGGATTTCCACCCTTTTGTTTTGGGGGAGCTCTACGACGCCTTTTAGGTGTGGATTCGTAGTAGGGTCGCTCGTATGGGTTATAACGGGGTTGATAGTAATGGCGGGGTGGTGGGTGTCTATAGGGCATGCTCATATTTGAATGTCTATTTGCGTTCATATTATTTGCTTGATTTACATTTAAATTAATTGGTTGCGCTTTACTTTTGCCCCCGCCACCACCAAAAAGTTTGCTAAGAAACCCGCCTTGTTGGTTTTTTCTATATTTGCCCCATTGATATTTTTTCCCTTAAAAGTACCACCCCTTTGTTTTTTTTACCTCTTTGATATTTTTGCCCTTTAAAATTACCTCCGCTTTGACCTGCGTAGTAATGCTCAGTATAATTTGAGATGGGCATTGTTAGATGCTGTGTGAAGAATGATGTTGTATTATGTGTATAACATATATTTTATATTTATTTTTTAGATGCCCATTATCTATTGTTGTGGAAGCTTCTATAAAGCAGAAATATTGCTGTTAAAATTGATAAAGTGTGATCAAGACGAAATGGTTTTTCAATTAAAGTACGGGGATATTATACGTGAAGTATCAAGAAAATTTTTCAGTATAGAAGAGTTTAGTTTGACAGTAAATTCTGGTTGGATTCGCACCGGTCGTTTTGATGTGGTGCAATCGCTGAGACAGGCAATATCTCAATTCTTTAAAGATATAGAGAATTTTGTAAATATCGATGTTGATTTACATTTATATTTTTTAAAATACCACAAAATTTATATTGTCGACCCATTAATTTGGTATTCACTATTCGCTAGTGTACCCTATTGCGGTACCGAATATTTTTCGTTTGCCAATCATAGTTACGTAAAATATGGATTGCAAACAATTAGGCAATGTGAAGAAAATAGATAGATATAATACTCGTCTTTGGGTAATCTTTTACCACGGAATATTTTTACCCTATCAACGGGAATTACATATGGACCTATCAATGGGGTATATAGATAAATATTTTTTTTTACGTAATAATTTTTTTATAGATGAATGTAACGTAACGCTAGAGTTTGAATCAAATAATTGGGTGTGCGTTTATTATTTTCCTAATACCCCGTCATTATTAAGCCAGATATTAAAAACTATATTTGAAAACTTTATTAAAGAGAAAAATGTTAATATGTTAACGTGTGCATTGTTAAAAGAATATAAAACATTAATATGTACGGATGTGATTGTTTTTAAATATAATTAATGTAAAATATATTCATATTTCTCCATATATATTTTAAAAAACATATTTGTTTTCATTTTGTTGTTTTGCAGCCATGATGTCAGAAAAAAGAATATGTCGTAAATGTCGTAACTCAACTCCATTATTGTTTACCAATGGACCCGATTTTACAATATTTTATAAATCTACTTTTTATAAATGTCATAGTCTGGTTTGGTTGCGCTTCGCTCATTTTAGAGCTCGTGGGACAACTACAAATTTTATAATTTATTGGGAACATGCTGCTGTTAGTACAGACTGCAACATTTATTTTACCGATAGCGGCGTGATGAGTCAATGTTATGGTGATATACCCGCACCGATGCGCTATTTATTATCCTATCTTTCATGTTTTTACGGATATAGCTTTGCAAATTCAAAAGAACATATATTAACCCATTTCTATAAATTTATCTCGATCAAAGTATGATACCCCTTATAATCCTATTTACATATCATGCATATGACATTTAAGTATAAGAATGCATATTCGCTTGATGTAGACAACCTACCTAAATATGTTGTATCGCACGAGTTTGTGGCTGGGTTACGATGAAATAAATAATAAATTGATCAAGGAAATATTTTTTAATGAAATTTTTGCGAAATACGAGCAACAGCTTGATGTATTGACACATTATTTTAAAGATAAAAAAATAAATGATATAATTGATGTAATGTATATCTTGGTATGTGAAGATTTTAACACGGGTACTTTAGGGAAAAAATATTGGGTAATTTTAGTGGCATTTTATATAGTTACCATATATGGATATATACCCTTCTCACATGAGGAATTCCGTAGATTTTTTCTACTGAAAATTACAGAAATTCACAATGAAATTTGTAATACAATCCGTACGGATATTAGAGTAACCTGTTTATCATGTTGCATTTTATGAGGGGGGTTGGGTTACTTAGCTTATAAAATGCTTTGCTAGCAACATTTTGGCATTCAACATTTGAAACATTTTGTGAACAAAATCAACAATCAATGGCTTCCCCAATCGAAATTTATGGCAAGCAATGTGAATTTGTATTGGCCACGAACGAAAATCAAACTAAAAAATTAGTTTGGTTTGAAAAGTATAATAAAAAATGCTGTCTATCCAGTGTTGCACCTACTAGCGGCGAACAGCATCTATACAAGATGAAGATGCAAATATCACGTGACGAGGCGGTTGTGTTTGAGGATAGTTTATCCAAAGTAAAAAAAGGAACCGATGTTAATCAGTTTCTTTCCACGGTGGGCATAAAAGACGGCGAATTTGGCCAAGTAGATATAACTTTCTCTCGTTAATTTGGAATATCACGAAACTCCCTCACAGGATAGAACTTAACATTCCTAAAAATCGTATGTTTTTTGTTTTTCGATTTTGTTACATTTTGGCGGGAAAATTACGTGCCAACTTTGGCGCCAAAAAATTAAACATGAGCTAAGAACATGCTAGTAACTTTTTCGAAAAGATTGCCCTATAAGGATCTCAAAACTGTAAAAACATTAAAAATACAACAAGGCAGTGCGAAGATATGGCGATTCAAAGTTCTATTTTTACTGAAAAATCAGCCATTTTGTTACTAAAAATAGATTTTTTTCGAACTTTGAATCGCCATACTTCGCACTGCCTTGTTGTATTTTTAATGTTTTTACAATTTTGAGACCCTTATAGGACAATCATTTCGAAAAAGTTACTAGCATGTTCTTAGCTTGTGTTTATTTTTTTTGCGCCAAAGTTGGCACGTCATTTTCCCGCCAAAATGTAACAAAATCGAAAAACAAAAAACATACGATTTTTAGGAATGTTAAGTTCTATCCTGTGAGGGAGTTTCGTGATATTCCAAACTAACGAGAGAAAGTTATATGTACTTGGCCAAATTCGCTGTCTTTTATGCCCACCGTGTCAGAGGGTGAAGATTATTTGGGTAACCCTACACGGCTTTCCCTACAAACGAGCAAATATAAGGGTTTAGTGTTATTGCGACACGTGCTGACACACCTACTATTACAGTTATGGTGAGTGTTCCAGAGGGTGATGAAGATCCTGATGCCATACCCGGATATGGATATACCCGATACACATACACCCCAATTGGAGTGGCAAGAACAATTTGCAAAATTTTATATTGAAAAAAATGATGATTGGACACACATGTCGAAAGTACTACGTGTGTTTGTGGCCGCTGTTGATGCCGAATTGGACGATTTGACTGCGGCTAAATTGGTGCCTGCAAAACAACTTTTGCCCCCACCACCCGCACCAACCCCTGCTAAAGATAAAGAAGTGGAGAAAGATAAGAAAAAACCGTCGGAAAAGAAGAGAAAAGTAGAGTTGGATAGTGATGATGAGGTAAAAACAACTGGAGTATCAATGCTCAGGCATGTTAATGCCTGGGTCTGCCCACGCTTGGATGATATCTTGCGCGCGTGTTGCACGCGCGATCTGTCAGTAATGCGTCTGTTAGAATATTCGCCTCTTGTGTGAGTATTTTAGTGAGTTCGGGCGTTTGCTTCAAATCAAAATATAGTATATATGAGCGACAGGATTATTTTGGAATATACAATGCAAAGAAGTCGGTATACTATTCAGTTTTGATGTATTAATGGGCTCTTTGTATAGCAATATAAAGTATTGTATTATTTGCGACAGCTGACCTTTGAACTGCTGATAAATAAAAGCTTCTTATCGTGCGCTATCTTGCGATTATTCTGTATTAATTGTTGACTGTTTCTTATTTTCAATGAAAAATTGCTTGTGAATTACAAATGAATAGCACATATAGTTCACTCGGTCTTTTCCACCATGGCATACTTCCCTTCAAGCATTAACTATGCTTCAAGATATCGGCTTGAATGCGCAATGAATGTTGTTATTGGAAATATAATATCCCTTACAATAAGCGGCAGACTGTTTCATTATGGCGCGTGAAATATCACGCGAAAAATGCGTTCGACTTGCAGCAGGGTAATTTGACGAAATTTTGCTATTTTTGTCAGCTAAAAACATTAACAAGGGAACAAAGTTTCCTGCGTTAATTTGGAAACCGTACATTTATTTGTAGATAACATTTAATGACGCGATTAACATTCGTTTGATGCCGATCATCGTAATATAGCCGCATAAAATAATGAAACGAAGCCTAAATGTAAACTTTCCAAATTTATTCAATAAACAGTGATATTATGGGTGAATTATTATCGCAATTCTGCGTTCCCTCAGTCACGAAATATACTGCTGCAGAGCCTCTGAATAAAAAGTATAATTTTTTGTGTTGTTTTTTGAAATATACATCACGTGATCGTTGCCATGACAACGAAAAGTAGGTCAACTTTTAGAATCTTCTTTGATAAATCATATAAAACTTGAATGGTAATAATCAAGGCCATACTTATTTTTTTATGATTTTTTGTTTATTTTCGCTAAATACACAAACTGAGACCCAGGCATTAATGTACCTGAGTGTTATATTTGATATCGAAATATAACGCGACCTATGAAAGCATACTTGCCCATCATGGAAACGAACTACAACCCGATTTAAATTATGAAATACTGCGTCAATTTGCCGATATTTTAAAATCAACAGCCGATAAACTTTCGCGTATAGCTAATCGGTATAATACGAGGGAAAATGATTTGTTTTTAAAGTGTTTGACAAAAGTAATAAATAAAATTTAAATTTAAGAAATTTTTTTTTTTTTTTTTTTAGACAAAGCGTGCAATGTGTACTATAATTGTAATGAAACATCATAGTTTATCGGCAAAAGAAGCAGTATTGATATATTGTAAAGAAATGAATGAGGAATACCTGTTCGATTATTTAGATTTAATAAAAAATGACGGTGATTTACAATTAGATAGAATATATAAGGAATTGTTAGATAAAAATTTAATTTAAATTTTTTTACAGTGATGGGGAAAAGACGGCGAGAACCAAGAATTGATAAAGATTTAATTAAAAAGACAGATTGTTAAAGCATGAACGTTTAGATGCTAACCAGAAAGACTTATATAGTTTACATAATAGAAAGACAATTAGATATAAACGTTTAAAAGTACATGTTACGAAGCGTAATCAACAATGGAGTACTTTTTTTCTGTGTTGGTGTTGTGTACTCAGGTGAATTTAATATGTTCGCGATGTTACTCTGAGTGCATATCCACACCGGGCGAGCTTGAAAAATATGCCCGGCCACGGTGGGATTCGAACCCACGACCTTTGGAATACTAGCCCATACCTCTTCCAACTGAGCTACGCGGTCAGGACGGTTCGAGTAAGTGATATTTCGGAACAGTATCTAGTTCCTTCAATACCAATGTGTTCTAGTAATATGAATTTTTTTGTGTTGGTGTTGTGTACTGAGGTGAATTTAATATGTTTGCGATGTTACTCTGAGTGCATATCCACACCGGGCGAGCTTGGAAAATATGCCCGGCCATGGTGGGATTCGAACCTACGACCTTTTCAAGCTCGCCCGGTGTGGATATGCACTCAGAGTAACATCGCAAACATATTAAATTCACCTGAGTACACAACACCAACACAGAAAAAATTCATATTACTAGAACACATTGGTATTGAAGGAACTAGATACTGTTCCGAAATATCACTTACTCGAACTGTCCTGACCGCGTAGCTCAGTTGGAAGAGCATTGGGCTAGTATTCCAAAAGTCGTAGGTTCGAATCCCACCGTGGCCGGGCACATTTTTCAAGCTCGCCCGGTGTGGATATGCACTCAGAGTAACATTGCAAACATAATAATGGAGTACTGATTTGGCCGATTTAAATAATGTGTCGGGATTTAATAATCAATATCGTTATTTATTGGTATGTGTCGATGTTTATTCTCGTTACGCGTTCCTAAAACCACTCAAGACAAAATCATCTAAGAATGTTGCAAATAAATTTGAACAAATCTTACAGGAAGAAAATGAAACCCCTATGAAGATTCATAGTGATGAGGGTACAGAATTTACACTTATCAAAAGTGATTTAGCCACTCAGGTATGTTAATGCCTGGGTCTCAGTTTGTGTATTTAGCGAAAATAGACAAAAAATCATAAAAAAATAAGTATGGCCTTGATTATTACCATTCAAGTTTTATATGATTTATCAAAGAAAATTCTAAAAGTTGACCTACTTTTCGTTGTCATGGCAGCGATCATGTGATGTATATTTCGAAAAACAACACAAAAATTGATACGTTTTATTCAGAGGCTCTGCAGCAGTATAATTCGTGACTGAGAGAACGCAGAATTGCGATAATCATTCACATATAATATCACTGTTTATTGAATGAATCTGGAAAGTTTACATTTAGGCTTCGTTTCATTATTTTATGCGGCTATATTACGATGATCGGCATCAAACGAATGTTAATCGCGTCATTAAATGTTATCTACAAATAAATGTACGATTTCCAAATTAACGCAGGAAACTTTGTTCCCTTGTTAATGATTTTAGCTAATAAAAATAGCAAAATTTCGTCAAATTACCCTGCTGCAAGTCGAACGCGTTTTTCGCGTGATGAATTTCACGCGCCATAATGAAACAGTCTGCTGCTTATTGTAAGGGATATTGTATTTCCAATAACAACATTCATTGCGCATTCAAGCCGATATCTTGAAGCATAGTTAATGCATGCCATGGTGGAGAAGACCGACTAAACTGTCCGTGCTATAATTAATTTATAATTCACAAGCAATTTTTCATTGAAAATAAGAAACAATCAACAATTAATACTGAATAATCGCAAGATAGCGCACTATAAGAAGCTTTTATTTATCAGCAGTTCAAAGGTCAGTTGTCGCAAATGATACAATACTTATTGCTATACAAATAGCCAATTATTACATCAAAACTGAATAGTATACCGACTTCTTTGCATTGTATATTCCAAAATAATCCTGTCGCTCATATATACTATATTTTGATTTGAAGCAAACGCCCGAATTCACTAAAATGCTCACACAAGGGGCGCATATTATAACAGACGCATTACTGACAGATCGCGCGTGCAACACGCGCGCAAGATATTATCCAAGCGTGGGCAGACCCAGGCATTAACATGCCTGAGCAAAAAATATGTTTTTTTATTATTTCATACCTATAATAGAGAAATAAAAGCCGTTCATGCCGAATGCTTTATTCAAACAATAACAGCAATGATAGCACGTTCAACCACGGTGTTAAACCAGGGGTATAAATATATTCAAAATTTACAGATTATTGTTGAAAGATATAATGAATCGCCACATCAAGCTCTGCATAATATGACGCCTTACGACGTATATAAAAAAGGTAAAATACCAAATGAATTTCAAAGTTTAAAAAGCTTTCTTAACAACAGCATACCGACAAGGCAACTGCTGAAACAAGGCGATATAGTATGTATAGCGAGAATAAAAAATAATATTTTTGAAAAATCAAGTCTTCGACATTGGATAACTGAGAAATTTCGTATTCGTAAAGTTTATATTACAGATCCTGTAACATATAGTATAGAAGATTTAAAAGGGGAAGAAATTATAGGCATTTTTTATTGTAAAGAATTACAAAAAATATGAATGTACAGATTATTAGTAATGCTAAAAATACAAATGGTGGTGAAAATTTTACGAATGATTTTGTAATGCCCTTACCTACATTGGTTGATGGTGAGAATCATGATAGGTTTATCCGGTGTTTTAAATATATCCTATCCATTAACCATTCAAAATGTACTCAAACAAAAATGCGGTATTTCCATACGTTTAAAATTTTCACCTGTGTTACCCAATATAAATGCCGATGTGAAATATGATGTATTTACCCCCAGGTTATTATACTCTAAAAGAAATGGTTAACACATTAAATGCACTTGTGGATGAATATGATATTACATTTAAAATTTTAAACGGGGGTCGTGTTGGGGTGTCTTATTCCATCGAACAAACTTATTATTATAGTGGAAAATCATTAGCAAATACCGATGATCATTTTGGCACACATGCATCACAAGTTGCACCCGACCAACATTTTCGAAAATATGATCATTGAATTGACACCCACGCTTGCATATATGTTGGGTTTATCAACTTTTATTGTTGACCCGTCTGTTGTAAAATATAGAGCCGAACAATTAGCTGTTGATAATTCTCTTAAAAATAAACCTTGGTTTTATTTTATGAATAGGGCCTATAATATAAGGCAAAATTTATTTGCATGTACTTATTATGGCGCATATTTACCCGATATATCTGATGGTATAGATGAAATGTTTATATATTGTGATGAAGTAGAAAGGTCTATTGTGGACGATACATATGATCGATTATTGGCTATAGTACCCCGTAAGAAAACGCTAGACCTTTTAAAGTCTTAAAAAGGTCTTGAAAAGATCTTGAAAATTGTATTTAAAAGGTCTTGAAAAGACCTTGAGATCGCCTAAGGTAAATGGCTTGAAAAAGTCTCCGTTGTGATGTTATTTTGACAGGTCAAAAGACATTTTCGAGACCTTTCGGAATCTAATCTGAAAAGTCTAAAGAGGTCTAGAAAGGTCTTGAAACATCTTGAAAGATCTTGCAACGTCTTGAAAGGTCTTGCAAAGTCTTGAAAGGTCTTGAAGCTCTAGAATGATCTTAGAATCTATTAATAACTTATTTCTCTTTATAGCATATACACTTTTAATAAGTGCGACAAAATCAATTTATTAAAAAATTATTTATAAAAATTCGCACAGTTTTAATATACTGTATATAGCACAACTATAAAACAAGATAAGACACTGACAATATTTTTGTCGTTACGTTTATCATCAGCCTGTAATCCATAGCTACAGTTAGTATAATATCATATGAGCCGATTAACGTTGATTACAAACTGGCGTCGGTTGTTTCAAACCTACTTTGTTGGGAATGCCATCAACTTCTTTTTCAACTTTGTTTGTGCACACGTACACTTGTTTGTGAACATTTTGTTCAACTCTACGCTTTCCAATGGGACCACGTGGAATATTTTTGCTGAAGCCAGCAAGTATCCTGTAAGTAAAAGAATAGTATTAAGTATACGTATCAATTATGATGCATTTCGTGCAATCTTGGTAACATCCAGCTATTCCGAATAGCAGAATTTTTGTTCTTGTGGCAGTGCACTCCCGACTTGAGTAATTAAAGGGGACATAAATCATAACATTTATTTGGTACAATAATATAATTTAAGGTTACTCCACATGATGAAAGTCCATTTCAGGAAAATGCTCGCCGCACACTAAATTTTTAAGTCCCCCCCTCAAATTTGGCACTCACAAGGATAAATTATTGCTGCTGCTACTACTTTAACAAAAATTATACATTTTTATAAACTATGGTTGCTACGAGTTGCTTTTGAAAATATGACGCACTTCGCCCAACGGGCTTTAGAACCATCCGATTAAACTCAGAAGCTTCCAAACCAAAACGCAGGAGATCTGCTGTGCGCATAGAAGCCGAAGCACTGAGTGAGGACTCGAATGCCAGAAGTGGGTCTGACAGCAAGCAAGTTCTTCTTGAGGACATGGAAGCTATTGGGTATGTGTATCATTTTGGTATTTGATAACCTTCCTATTCTTGTATGTGATGAAGATGTAAAACCTCCCTGAGCCATTTTGTGCAATATATATTTTTCAAAATGCAGATTTGATGGGTCGAGTTTCGTAAAGAATCTTGAAGCAAGCGTGGCTGATCGGCAGAAAAGGGGAAAGCCGCCCAGGAAAATACGTTATGTCCATTACTGTCAATGGGCACATGCTTTGCTGGTAAGTTTTGTAATTAGTACTAGCCTGGTATTAATACTATAGTCACATGATAAATGGCTAATGCTTTGCTTTACATCATTTTTATCACAACCTCTCAACAGAAAAAGGATATTGGAGGAGAAGACGCGGAATTTGGTTTTCCATGCCAAGTGTTAAATTTTATTAGGCACATTGCTCCAGGGGATGTGAAAGGTGAAATTAGAGAGGTAAATATGTATGTTCAACATATTTTAGATAGATGTGAATTTGTATAATTCAGTTATTTTGTATGAAGAAAGAATATAATCAGTCGTATCATGAGTGATTAAAAGCATTGTGTCTTGTTACCTGCATGTTGGCTCAAGAAATGGTGCTAAAACTATTTTGGATATGAATAATAGGGCAATGAAGATTATTATCGTAGTCGCTTTATAGCGGGCCAATGCATGTGTTCAATTCACTAGTCAAGACTAGTCAGTAGTCTGGTTTAGGAATACCAAAAAATGCGTTGAATGTGAGTTTCGAAAAATTACATGCAGTAACATGGCTTTATATGATTTATTTTAGGATGCATACTCCGTCTCATTGAAGGTTTTCTGCAAAGTATTGGATATACCAGAACGGCAGAAAAATGAATTGTTGTAAATAATCTAAATAAAAGCTGAAAATTAGTATACGTCAAAACACAATCACAAACTACTTCGTACTCTTTCGTTTCATTGTTTGTCCCATAAGAAATATAATAGATTCTCCGTGTTGATATATACTGTTATATTTGAACACGAGTGGAATTAGAGAAACAATAAATTGTGCAGAAACATGTGTTTATTGATGCATATATTATTAAGAGTTAGGTCAACAAGGCTGTTAGCCATGGCCCATGGAGCATGTTCACGTTCAGAATTTACAAATGCTACAATAATTTTTATTAGATTTTACACATGAAAAGCTTGCCATTTAAAACATGCCTGGCGACTATAAAAGCTGAAATGGAGAAAGATTTTATGTAACCAGTTTTAACGCAATACATGCAATGTCAATGTAATGGCAAAGTCGGTTTGATATAAAAATGTTCATTGAATAATAAGATTTATCACGTATATATTATAGGAAAACTTTCTCTGTTTTAGGAGTTATTGTTGTTCTACATTCTTATAAGCGGTATAAGTCATTGCGTTGTAAAATACATTATCTGTTTCCAATAGTCTATACACATCGTTCTTTACTCTATAGCTTTACTTTTCAGACTTTTTTCTTTTTTTCTTTCCATTTTCCTTTGCTGTTGCTGTACCATCATAGAATTCCTGTGACTTGTACAGTATCCCCTCCTTGTGTACAAATGCGTCAGCTTTGTTTGCCCTCTGCCATTTGTACTTTTTCCTTCGATTCTTAACAGCGGATTTCTCTTTGTATTCTGCTGTGTCTAATCTTTTCTTATCCACTTTCTTCCATTCCTTCACCATATTGTCATCAACATTTAACCCTATCTTCGGCAACAACTGTGAATAGGTAACTTCCATGCCGCTGTTGAATAGCAAGCAACCAAGACTGACTGCTAAACTGGTTTCACTGGGAGACGTGTACTGATCTTTGGGAGCAAGCCCCCAAATGACATGATGTAAAGACTCATTTGGATTTTGAGTCGCACACTTTTCACAACCAGCGAGAAAGTTTGCATCACCCAAGCGATCAAATACAGGTTTAATTACCTCGACAATGGCTGAAGTAAACAGATTCTTTATAGGTATATGCAACGCTGTATTATTTGTAACATCTCTTTGATACGAACACCACAAGTCCTTTCCCACAGGACAAAATTTATGTTGAGGTTTCTCTGCGGTGCTAGCGTAATGGTACAATATGGCTTTGGTAGCCTTGGCCATTGCTTTTGAATCGCCTTTATTTTGCCGAATACACAAGCCTTAGAAACTTTGGATAGCGTCAATCCTTGTAATGGTTAATCTACCAGCTCCACTCAAACCCTTGCCATCTGATAGTTTTTTCCCTTATAAAAATAACATGAAAATGACTGAGCTTGTTAGATTACTGTCTATGTCACATATTTAGCTCTTATACGTAAGAGAAAACATTTCTGTTTCTGTTTGATAGCTCGCTTCTTTCACTAACGTGAAAAATATATAATTCTGGTTTGCAACAAAATAACCGCAAAACGCGCAATCACTGCAGCTTTCATGCTTATTCAGTATACTTGCATGCGTGTCAAAACATACACGTTTCATCGGCATGTAAGTATACAGACATACAGTACAGTATAGTATAGTTTGAATATAAAACGAAACATATAGCATATTGCACCTTCGCAAATTATTATACATATGGTCGCTACATTCTACAATCGTTACGTTACAACCTATATGTCACTGATAATTTGAAAAGGTGCATGCTATGTTTTGTTTTATATTCAAACTATACTGTTATTGACTAACTGTCACGATGTTTGCTTATAGTGCACATTTCAAGTGAAAACAATTAGCATTGTTTTTAAAAATTACCTTTATAATCACGGACGAGTGATCTTAGATTTGTTCCCATTCTTTTCGTCACATGCGCTATGCAATCTACTTTCGGAATAAACACTGTTTCCCCATATGGTTTCTCTATGCAAATGCGGTTATAGGACGAAGAATCTCCATCACCAATAAATGGGATATACCGTAACTTCTGCTTCTCAATTGATCTTTGATACAGTTGAAACACCCCTGATGATTCCATTGACTAAAAAATATATTGCGCAAATAATTAATCATCAAACTAACAGATTGACACATACTCAGGCGTATTATGTAAATCTTATAGTGAGAATTTTTATACCTGTGCACTCCCTTCATGATTGAGTAGACAATTAGGCTCATGAGCGATATAGCAAGATAGATAGTCTAATCGGTTCAAATCTCCTCTTGCTCTTTTTTCTTCCATTTCTTTGCACTGTTTGCACTCTCTTGTCATGTACACCACGTCTAGAACTTTCCCTGTATCTTCTGAAACCGCCGCAACTAAACCATCACGCGCAGACCAACCCTGTGAACTCCATGAACAGTCAAAGCTTGCACCAACATCAACAACTTTTTCTGCCAATTCTTCATCCATACAATCCGCAATTTCACCTACTGTTCTTTTAAGTTGTTTCAGTTGTGACGCTGCTTGATTGAAGTCAATCTCTGTAAGATCTTTCACTTTCTCCTCAATTAGCGTTGTGTGTTTATCCCACGTGTAGACCGGAGTAAGACCAAGAAAACTAAGGCATTTCTGTGCGGCAGAACGTCCTTTCCTGATAGCTCGAAAACCAATAACTGATGCACGGTTAACATCGTATACTTTATCGGACAAAGGCGAAATTGGGATGAACTGACTGGACGCACATGATACACATAACTCATTGGTGCAACAAAAGTTCCATTTGGCCCCAAGACCTTGTTTTGAACCAAGCTTTTCCACAATATGCAGGAGACTGCGACAAACTTTGCATACAGCAGAAGATTCCAACATCTGCTCCAAGTTATCAGGACAAACAATATAGTTCCCAGTTGGCTTCGAAAAGACCGAGCATGCCTCATCAACTTCCTCGTCTTCACTGCTACCATGTAGTGATTCTAGGTCAGAAGTGTCTGATTTGTTAGCGCAGTTATTCGCGAGTAGCGTTTTCTTGCTCTCTTCCAGCTTCCTCTTACTTGCACTCGCTGTTGTCGCATCTCCTTCGGTTATTGCTGAAGCAGCTGAGTCATTACATTTTTCTGGCCACTGTTGTTCTTGTGAAAACCACGAACCCAAATCGCTACTGGCTAATACTTGTTTCTTGTCCGCATCAAACTCCTTTCGATCTGGGAATTTTCTTCTTTTTCTTTTCGAGCAAAACGGACTGGTATTTTTTCTCTGGCCCTTTGATTTTCTAGGCATAATGCTCACAAGTATACGTTTGGCCTGAAGATTGATCACTTTTTAAACCAGCGTTTCACTTAGAAAGCAAGTTTCACTGTGTTGTGTAGGTGTACCAACAATAATAGCGTAAATTATGACCATCCTGTTATTACAATGATATCATATAGCTACTCTAAAACAAACAAGCCGTCGGATGTTGAATACCGCCGGAGGTGTGTATTAACATGCACCCTGTGGTCACACTTATCAACAACCTGTCAATCACAACTAAAACTTTCCCGGCCAAAAAATTAGACTATATAACATATTCGGTTATATCTCGGTTGCATTTTAATATTTTCAAAAAATATTTGTGGAAATGGAAAGATCACTAGCCCCTCGATATAAATCGATAAAAATGTAAAACAAAATCAATGTTTTCATCATATGGAGTAACCTTAACAAAGGAAAATTCCGAAAATCGAAGTAATACTGTGCAGCGTAGCTCTACAGTCTTATTTATTTACAGTCTTATTTATTTAATTACTCAAATCTTGACTGGAGACTGGAGTGTAGCAAATGTTGCTATATTTTACTGTGCGCATTCTTTGTATTAATATCAATTACATTAATTTATACTAAACGTGTTTAAATTAGAAGTACCTTTGATTGCTGAAACGACATTCGGATCCAGTACTTGTTTACCCGTTGGAAGCACCCAATTTCCAAAAGCAACAGACATCGCCAGTATTTCCTGAGAGAAAAAGTGTTCCATCAAGCAATGGAATAACACCTTTAAATCTGATCCTGATTTGTGATGGCATTGGCGAAGCTTGATCGTGGGAATAAAAACACCAGACCCTGGGCATAATTCTGGCTTGCCATTACCTCCTTCGAAGTGCGACGAAGGCGAAGATGATGGTGTATCGTTGACGGCAGGCCGTGGAAATGTTGTGGCATTGACAGCACTGGTGTTCGTAACATTAGTCTTCGCTGGAGCGTATAAATTTTGAAACAAACAACAATGGAACATTGGTTATTGTCAAAATTATTAAAGAAAGGAAGAACTGCAATCCAGATATTTCACACAAAGATTATCTAGGAATGGACATTTTTGCAAAATATGATTCTGACTTTTATACATACATGTGTTGGTGGCGTGTTTTGTGTCTTGTTCATAGCCATAGGTGGAAAACTGATATCCATTACTTCGTCATTGCAGTCCTCATCAGAGCTTGCATCACGAAGGTATTTTGCCAATGATTCAAGGTATATTACAGCTGCCGGTGGAACATTAAGCAGACCTAAAAATATATATTATTATTAATAATGTATAAGTATATACGTCTGCAGGGGCTCACTAGCTGTGACGACTCAAAACACGGCTTTCATTCTGAATGAACATGCACTGTAATTATCTATACTATCTATACAATTATATGACTTATAGATCTAGTGATATAATTATATTTGTATCATATAACTATATCTATAATTATATGATCTATAAATTAATATATAACCTTGTTCTTTAACATAGTGTTCATTAGGGCCATTTATATAGGAGCAAAAATAAGCCTCGGCTTAAATAAGTCTCGAACCACTCGTATAAACAGTCACTGATTTGTTCGCAAACAACGGCTACTGAAATAAGCCTTGGGTTGAAAGCTAGGCCTAAATTTTGTATTGCAAATTGACTCTTTATACGAGCCGCGGCTTATTTTGGCCGCAGCTTATTTTAGCTCGTATAAATGACCCTATATTGTACCGAATAGACAATACTATAGTGAGAAGTTATACCTGCAAACTTTTGTTTTTCTTTTCTTAAACGTGCAATAGTCCCTTTCAACCTCGCATTTTCATCTCGTAATACGGCACACTCGCTGCATTTGGGAGGGATATCATCTGCTTTCTGCTTGATAGAGTTATTTAGCCATTCGTCACATTTACTCACCCATTCATCGTCGCAATCGTATGAGAGGCGTATGGCGCAGCTAATTTCTGAAGAAAGTGGTACCGGTGTTTCATCTGGCCAATGTGGGTTTGTTTCTTCTCCTAGCAATTGTAACTCTCGCCGTGCTGTTTGGTTGGATGACTTGTGGCTGTTGGCTGAGTGAATTGGCATATTAGTAGCCGTGAAGTTAGTTGGTGGCATGTTTGCAGGGCTGGAAAACCGGTCATCGTCTAGAGTTTGAAATTCATCTTTTTGGCTAGGATTAACGTTGCTGGTTGAAGACCATTCAGTCGACGGCCGAAGGTCAGACGGTGGTGTGAGCACTGTGAGACTAGTACCAGAATTTAGTGGAGTAGTAGTATTAATTCGACTAGCCGAATTTGATGATGTCTCGTTGTGGGCTACAGGAATCTGGTGGTCTTTTTCACATGGATTTTCACGTTGCATGTCTTCGATCAATTTCCTGGCCATAAGTTTCGCACTTTCAAGTTGCGTATTTTTTACACTTGGTTCTTTTACTTGTTTAGTTTTCTTCTTCTTTATTTTGGAAGCTTTTTGCGTAGGCGTGGCCGTGTCATTGTCCACCTCAGCATCATGAAGCGTGGGTGTCGATGGAGTTGACGTTTGCTCTTCCAAATCCAGTTGTTTTGCTTTTGCAGTTCTTGTTCTTTTTCTCTTTTTTCTAGCGACGTCGTTGAGTTCTTTTGCTCTGTTCTCCGCGTAATTCTCACAAAGCAACTGAAGAGATTCTTCGTTATCTTTAAAAGTAAGAAGACATTAACAATTATACTATATGCGATATAGCGTTAAAAGATAATGTGAATATTGGGAAGTTATACATGCTGCAAGATCACATAAGACAACATTGGGGAGAGCCGGCTGTCAGAACTAGATGGCAATCAGAAAATTGCGCTTAATTGGCACAAGCATTAGGGGGTATCCGTATATCACACGATTGTTCTTACTGTAGCATTGAAGGATTGGTTTAATTTCTTGCAACTAAATATACGCCTATGGAAACAATTTTGTACAAATCGCGTGAGCTCGAATTATTTTAAAGAATTGGTATAATTGCATGGGCCTTCGCATACTGTGTTACAGTTTTATAATTATTGTATCACCTCGATCATTACTTTGTTCCTGTGATTTTGTCTTTTTTTTTTGTATTCGTTTATTAAATGCGTAAGCCGGAAATCTGCCATAGGCAAAAGTAAAGATATATCGAGATATACCGCGTCGCCGTACAGTTTCAAGTATATACCAGACTCAAATATAAGCAAGTAACTATTTTAACTTCAAGGATAATTCAGAATCAAAATAGTTTTGAATTTTTTCCTATTGAAAATTGAATAATATAAATATATTGACATTCTAAGTCAAGATAGTTCGGTCTAGCTTGCTTATTGTTATAGCTATATTGATAACAGACACACGCATGTAACGACATTCGTTGGTTTGGCATTCACATTTAACACATCCCTTGGTGTATAATTCTACTTGAAACGAGAGATAGCAACATCCGAAGGCGAAGAAAGGGCTTTTGCTCAAAGCACTGTAAATTCCCATATTTTCTCATTTCAGGTAAACTTTTATACACCGAGACCGCTGAACATATTATCTAGCTATACTGTTCCCAAAGTTAACACTATATTACCTGTATGAATTATATACGTATGGAGTTTTAGAACGTTACAGTAAAACACAACAATAAAATATAAACTTACCGGATAATTGAAGTATTTTTGCTTCATACCAGCACGTTTTGACTCCACCCTTCTTCTTCCTGATCCGCCAAGCCACTGGGAAAATCTCGCCCAATTTAGCCTCACCTACTATATCCTCATATGCAACAACACTATTTTGTTGGTCGTCGCTCCAAAAGACAAGAGCAAATTTCTTTTCCGCCATAATTCCGAAGACAATTTATAGAAGGAAGAATTCTACTGTAAACGAACACTAGCTCTGCCGCATGAAGTGTCAATTCGAGCGCCAAAAATTTCAATTCGACTGCCAAATTCGGACACCGAGTAACAACCAATCAGTGAGGGAGATTGCAAGCATGTGATCAAAAGACTCTGATTTCAGGCCAAACTCTTATCAGATTTACAATCAATGAATCTACAAGACAACTGTTTTACAGCATTCTTCGCCTCTTCATATATGCACAGATGTTATGTGCCTGCATGATTTCATGTTGCATTGTATGTAAAAATTATCTAAAACTTGTCACGTAAAAGTTGTGTTAATTGTATGTAGGAAATATAATTTAGATTGTAAAATATGAGGATGTTTATGGGCAAAATATATAGTTGTTTTTGCCAAAATTTATAATGAGCGGATGGACAAAGATTAGGTTATAAGAAGCTAATGCAGCAAACCCCGCCAAGCGCGGAAACCTCAGGAATGCGCGCGTCAATGCTTTGGCTTAGAGACTTAAGCTAATCTTATGAATAGAGTTGTAAAATATAAGGAGTTGAGGGTTCGATGTGAGAAGTTGGAACTGAGATTGAGATAGAATCGAGATTGAAATGAGATTGAATTGTTGTATTTAGAGAATTGTTCAAATGTTGTAACGCAATTATAATAAAGAAAATATATAACCGATAGATACAGTCCCTTGATCGTAGGAATTGGGAACTAGCATGTGCAAACTTCCTTGACGGTGTAGACTGTGGGTAAAGTTTGTGAAAAAACTTGTCAAAAATGTCTGAAGCGCCAGTAAAGAAAAAGAGAAAGACAAAAAACGAAATGCGGCAGCCACGTAACGAAATGTTATGTTGATTCAGAAACAATTCTCTCAATCAATGGCATCTGATTGTTCTGAAATTGTACACTTAACTAATGACCCATCTAAAAGCGTGCCCCCTGTCTACGGAGTCTAGTGGTATAGAATACGAAATTAGTGAATCCTCAATGATTGAACAAACTTTCCAGTTTACAGAAGAAATTAGCGAATCCAACGAGGACGATGAACAAGAATTTTTGCTTCAACCAGTTAAAAGAGAACTTCTACCAGTTGACCTGACTGAGATACATGACGATGCACTGACTCCTACTGCATTTTCTGGGCTTGAGTCAAATAATGATTTGCCAGATAATAATCAAGCAAGTTGTTCAGAGAATGTACCTTTATCAACTGAAAACGAAGCAGAGGAGGAAAACGAATGGGTTCTTGATTATTTAGAGAAAATACAGGATGCTCTTCAGGAAGAAATGGAAAATATTACGAGAGACGCACATGATGCAGATGAAGAAGAAATTTGGTATGATGCTTTAGAGGAAATAAACAAAGCGGATACTCGTGTGGAGACTGGATCAAAAGAAAATCTTGACTCCAAACCTTTGTACGAAAATTCCCCACTCACAGTCGGAGTGAGTGCTTTACTTATCATGACATTTGCAGTGAGACATATGATAACTGGTAAGGCTTTGCATGACTTGTTGGTTTTAATAAGTTTGCACTGTGGATTGCCAAACTATTGTTTTAAAACACTATATACATTCAAGAAATACTTTCAAAATTTAAACAGCCCCCTGAAATTTCATAACTATTGTTCAAAATGTAACATTTCGATTGTGATCTTCCCGCTAAATGCATGGTATGCAATTCAGTCCAGTTCAATGGTCGCTATGGTTGTTCGAAATGCAAGCAGCCAGGGGAATCAGTTCGAACTGAAAAAGGTGGGACAGTACTCACCTTCCCATTCAAGAATGACGACCCAAAAGGCCCTGAGCGTACGCATCAAGAAACGATAGAAGATGCTAAACAAGCCGTTATTGATGACAAACCATGTTATGGTATTAAAGGACCATCATGGCTAGCGGGTCTGAAACACTATGACATTATAAAAGGACCCGGCATAGACTATATGCACGCAGTACTTTTAGGTGTGATGAAATTGTTCTTAAATTTATGGTTTGGAACAAATCGCAGTCATGACTTTAGTATATCTGATAAGATAAGTCAAGTTGATAAGCGTCTTCTTTCAATTAAACCACCAGATAATATATCCACATGCCCACGCTCAATAGAAGCGCACAGAAAGTACTTTAAGGCTTCAGAATTGCGTTCTTTTCTGTTGTTCTACAGACCGGCAGTACTTTTTAATATATTATCAACCTATGTACTATGAACATTTTCTTCTTTTAAGCGAAGCGATACACATATTGTTACAGGAATCTATTACTATAGATGAGGTAGCGTATGCTGAGCGGCTCCTATTCCATTTCTGTGTTATGTTTGAACCATTGTATGGTAAAAGATTTCAAACTGCAAATATTCACGGCCTTGTTCATTTAGCATATAATGTGAGAGAGCTAGGACCATTGTGGACACACTTGTGTTTCCATTTTGAAGACAAAAATGGTTTTCTTTTAAAAACAATTCATGGTACGCAGCAAATACAATTTCAAATCATATCTACAATTTCCATTTCGAAGCGTATACCAGAACTTGAGAAAGATTTTCTCTTGAACGGGTCCAACGAATGCAAATTTTACCATAAACTGATAGGAAAAGGAAAAGCGATGAAGAATGAGGTACAACTTTCACAAGAGTGTTATGGGATCGGTGGAGTTAGCTGGCGTCAACTTTCCCCTCTCGAGTTTGAGGCGATTTCTAAAACATTTGGTTCTGCGCCTCCAAACATAAAAGTGCAAGCATTTTCCCGTATCCGAAAACTGAAGTGTGTCTACCAATATAAAGCTTATAAACGTGTTCAAAGCAGAAATAGTTACACGATAAGGTTCATGGATGGAAATAAGGACAGTTACGGACATATCGAATTCTTCGCTCAGTTCAAGCCAATGTGTTTGTGTGCCGAGGTAGAATGTAGGTGTCCTATTTTCAATGTTGCAGTTGTTTCTACTCGTTCACGACTAGATGTGAACCTAATACACAACGATATCACGCATGCATCGGTTCCGAACATTATTGTAGTAGCCCCACCAAAGACCAATAAAATACAGGTTGTTGAAATAGAGAAAATACAAGAGAAGTGCACATACATGCAATTTTGTGACTCCAGATCAAGCATTTGTAGCACGGTTTCCAAACTTGGTTGAAACGGATTAGGACTTTTAAAACACTGTGTCTGAAATATTTTATTATAACTGGGAGTGTTACAATCTGCTTTTCAGCTGGTTTGTATTAAATATGTAAATATTAAACAGATTCAATATAAAGTTTGTGTGTTTGTGAGTTCACGGCAATAGTAGGTCTAATATCAGTCATGTTTTCGCTCGCTACTCTGAAATAAATGAAGGCAAAGCCCAGTCAAATTGCATTCACGGCCCAACGTTTCGACACTCCAGTCTCAACCTAATGAAGACACTAGACTGGAGTGTCGAAACGTTCGGTCGTTAAGTGCAATTCGCGACTGGACTTTGCATTCATTTTTTCAAACCAGGGTAGCGAGTGCAAACATGACTGAGATTTAATATAGATCATATCACATATGTGATTTTGAAACCGTTTTTTTAGACAAAATTCGTTCATATGTCTGTTGCTGGCTCAGTAAATTTACTTCCTTTGGCAAGTTTGGCTTTGTTCTGTGCAACCTCAAAACTGTGGTCGCACACTAAGTCAGACTGATCACACTAATTTTAACTGATATCTAAAGATGCCTGGATGCACAGTTTATAGGATGCGATTTGGTTGTACTAGTTGGCATATCACATATGTTCTACGACTACATGCTTGAGCCGATTTTGACCATTACGATTATGTTGCATGCCAATTACAAAATTTATCTTTTAAGACTTAAATTAGGATCACTCATCACAGCATTAAAGGCCAGCTGACACCTACCCATGCATTTTAGTGTTAATCAGGCAAACCATTTGCGCAAGGGAGAGCAATGAACTGAAATTTAATAAGGCTTTACACGATAAGACATATTTGCTTTATATAAGTATATAGCATTACTATGAGTTGCATAATGCATGGCGAAGATGAAACACAAGCCTTCAGAATGGCATTCCTGCTTCGGCTCAAAGACTAGGCAATAGTATAATATAATAACTGACGCGCGAGTATTCGAACAATTTGCAGTGCTGAAAGTATGAACCATGATATCTAATCCATTTGTCTACTGAACGCATTTATCTTTTATTTGACTTCTAACATGTATATAAACAATAAATATATGTGCCTAATTCAAATACAAATGGAAAGTTAGCAAATAATTCGTATTGGGCCATATTTGCACACTGATTAAATTACGAGTAGCTGTTTTATAGACCTTTTTAGTTCAGGAGATAACAGCTGGATATCAAATTTACCTAAAAGACCTATTGTAGACCTTTCAAGACTTTGTCTCAAGACAATTTCACGACAACCGCAACTTAAAGGTCTTGCAAGACCATTGGTAGACTTTTAATAACGCATAAATGTCTAGGAAAGGTCTCCAAGACTTTTTTATAGACTTTTTACGATCTATTTAGACCTTTCATTTTCCTACGGGAAATTTAAAATGTGAAAATCGTGGAGACAATTCATTATGTCTATATACACCACCTGACATACGACGCAAGTTAATTAAAAGTAAAATTAATCAATTTAAAATTGGTTTATATGATACGAAGCGGATCTATAAACATTGAATGTGTAATTGAATTTTAAAAAATGTTACACTTAAAAATGGCTGTACCCTCAAATCACCCCTGTGAACTTCGTTTTACCGAATATGACTATACAAAACCTGCTGGTGCTTCGGATACAGATATACATTATTACTATGTTTCACATAGAATAGAAAAACCAGGGCATTTTTCAAGCAACGATATCTTTACTTTTTACACTGCAAGAAAATATGATTTATCTCAAGTAATAAAAAATTTAGATATAAAAGATGCAAAGGGAACCTTTTGAGAGGGGGTATTTGATGATGGGGCTTTTGAATTACCACATGTCGCTAATACAACAACTTTTCGTTATTCAAGTGGAAAAAGGCATATCCTATATCATTCTGAAAATGCAAAAAATTTTAAAGATGAAAAACAAATGTTACCCTTTTATTTAATTAATGTAAAAAATATAGATGAATTAAATAAAAGTGTAAAAATAATACTTGATTTTGATAATACAACGGGGTTCCCAAGTACTACAGTTTCGGTAGAGCTATGGTTAAATGTATTTGTTGATGAAAAATAAATCATTTCACACCACGATCGCAATCATGAATATGCATATGGACAAAGAAAAATATATTAAATTGTTAAAAGGAGGAGGGCAACGATATAAACAAGGTAACTTATATATATTACCTAATGCTGCATCTACTGTTGAAAAAAGAGCAGCAGGAAAAGTGTGCCCACCCACAAATTTAAACCCGTATTACGCACCTGATCCAAAAATAAGACGTGTGGGTAAAATTCAACCTAGAACACTGTCTACCAATACTCAACAACAACAACAACGACAACAGAAACTACATCCGGACGTTCTAAAATTACTCTATGGGTGATAGTAAAAGAAGAAATATTAAAAAAAAAATTTAAAAAAACAAACATAAAATTCAAAAAGGGGGGATAGGTGCAGCAGCAGGTGTTGCATTAGGTATGGCATTACCTCTGTTATTAAATACAGGGCAAAATGTAGTGGGTAGTATTTTTGGTAAAAAAACCCAAAGTCAAAATAGAAGTGTTAATCAACGATGTCAACAACAAGCTTATACCACCACCACCACCACAATGGATGAGTGGGCTGACCTATCAACGACCACCCCCTCGAAGACGAAGACGTCCTCCCCCTAGATATTATGACTATTATTAAAAAATGTAGATTGTGATGTAAAATTTAAATGTTAATTTTATCAATAAAAAATTAAACGTCAAATACGTATGTGTGTGTATTTTTATGAATAAGTGCAGACAAAATAAAATTCATTTATACAATCATTGTCAAGATGAAATGTACAGCAGCTCGTGGCGGCACAACAAGTGAAGAACCCGTTGAAGAACATGATAGTGGGTTTGTAGGGCCTATGACATTATTTGATACGTTTCGCTATAATGATACTTTTGAGGAAACAAGAGAATTAAATATAGTTTGTAGCCCAGCGAACTCAACAGCTGAAGTTCATACATTTATTCATAATCGACAAGATTACGAGGTAATTAAAACGGAGGATATTTTCCTTAAAGCATCAATTAAATTAAAACGGCTTCTGCCTACATAGCTGACGATCGACAGGTGTCGTTAAATATGTGACCCTTACGCTTCGGGTGGAAATCTGCAGAAGTTTATCTAAATAATCAATTGGTATCTGCACAATGTAGTAATGAAAATGAATTGGCGCATGAAGGAAATGACTATAAACTATTGATAAAGAAACAAAATATGCTAGAAAAGAAAGTTAAGCTACTGACACATGACACCAAACAAAAAGAGAATGGCACCCTAAACCAAACAGACCAAGAAGCACCAACTACTCCATCTACCGACATGAATATGAGCACACCTATTAGCACACCAAATTGCGAAAAGGAAACCCCAACTGGAACCAACAACAGTACATCTCCCACTACACCAATACCATCTACAGAAGAGCAACCATTAACAATCCACTACACAATCCCAATAAGCAATATGTTCAACCCACTAGATAATGACTGTGAAGAAAATGGAAAACCCACAACAAAGAAAACTGTCACTGCTGAAACAATTATACTGTGTGACTCAAATGGAAAACACTTAGATCCGAAACTTCTTTGCTCTGGCTCACCTACCCAATACATAAGATGCCCAACAGTAAATGGAGCTACAAAAATACTCGATGAGTATGAGTTTACCTCCCCTCAGACCTTCGTCATCCATTCGGGAACCAATGACATTGAAACTACCAATTGCAAAGAAGTCTGCGACAAACTTACAACCCTAACTAAGTACATAACTACAAAATACCCAAACTGCCGAATCTTACTTTCAAGTCTCCTTCCTCGATCCGACCATCTTCTACAACGAGTTCAACTGCTGAATAGCGAGATTGAAAAGATAAAGATCCAATCACCAAACATAATTCATGTGAAACACCATAACCTCTTCAGATCCACAAACATCTTATATGACAAAAAACACTTAAACCAGAAAGGTGTCAAGTTGTTTGCCAAGAATTTGAAAGGGGCTTTCTTTGCCAGAAAGAAAAACAAAACAAAGCAGCAACATGCCCACAGCAACCTCTATAACTACCATTACCCTGGAAGAGACCATCATCATCTGATGCCTCGAAACTATCCACCCCCGAGCTTCCAACCACCGACATTTCATCAACCACGACCACCAACATTCCATCGGCCACAACCACCAACATTCCATCTCCCTCAGTCACATCAACCAACACTCGGCCATCCAAATAAATCATGGGCTAGTGTGGTGTCCGAACCAAAGTTGGACAGTGAGACCCTACCTGCACGCTTAAAGGAAATTATTAATGTCCTCCATGGTTTCATCCAATGATTGTGAGTATCCTGAACTAAATTATCCTTACCTTTTTACCTTGTTATTATCAACTTTTAAACTTACTAACTCAAATTTAAAATATATATTACGGTGGCCCACAACGGCAACACACAATTTATTTTTAATATACAGTTTATGTTTTGCTTAGCAAATTTTTTTCTGGCCGAATTTGTTGTTTTGCAACCGAAATTTTTTTTCAAACCGACTTTTTTCTGTGAAATTTATTTTCAGCCAGAATTTATTTTCAGCCCGAAATTTATTTTCAGCCGAAATTTGTTTTCAGCCAAAATTTATTTTCAGCCGAAATTTGTTTTCAGCTGAAATTTATTTTCAGCCGAAATTTATTTTCAGCAGAAATTTATTTTCAGCAGAAATTTGTTATGGGAGGATATCGTTCCATGTGGCATGCACTCTGTATTAGTGGCCATCAAGTACCACGTAATGTGGTTGAGCAACTAATGAGAGAACTTGACCCTGAAGGATGCCAAATCAGGAAAGCAAGGCGCTTACGCAGAAGGACATATCAGGTGCCTGGTCCCAACCATTGCTGGCACACTGATGGGTATGATAAACTGAAGCCATATGGTTTCCCCATCCACGGCTGCATAGATGGATGGAGCAGAAAAATTATTTGGTTTCGTGTTGCAAGATCCAATAACAACCCAATAGTTCCTGGACTGTTCTATGTTGAAAGTGTGGCAGAATATGGCTGTCCTGTGAAATTGCGATCAGACTGTGGAACAGAGAATGGCGTTATGGCTGCATTGCAGTGCGAATTTCGCTCCTCCTCAGATGCCCATTTTTTGGAACATCCCCAGCTAACCAGAGAATTGAATCCTGGTGGTCACAATTGAGAAGAAGCAGGTCAACATGGTGGATGAACTATTTTAAAGACATGATAGAAAGGGGTCACCTTAATACAGATAATGGTCTTGAAATGGAATGCCTTTGGATTTGTTTTTCATCTTTAATCCAAAAAGATCTGGATCTGGTGAAAGAGCAATGGAACACCCACCGTATGAGGGCTTCTAGACATGACACAGTTGCGGGTATACCTGATGAACTCTATCATCTTCCAGAAAGGCACGGAGGAGTTGATGGCTTAGCTCTTAATATTTCTGAAGGGCAAATAAATTTTGCAAAGGAAAACTTTTTACAGTATGAAGTTGAAAGCAATATGTATGAGGAACACTTTGGCTTTATATTGCAAAATATTACATTTTCAGAACCTGAAAATTGGGAGGAAGCTGAGAACATGTACTTTACACTTATGTCAATAGCTAATAATACTGATTGAAAGTCATTAAGTGAGGACGTGTTTGAAGTAATATCAATAACGAAAGCTTGTTTTAGCCAATGCATTTAATATAGGTTTACCCCATTTAGTGGCATCACTCTCCCCCTGACGAGTAAAATCGTCTGGTGTTAGACATAGTAAAATAACAAAGTAGGCCACATCTGGGCATTATGCCACTTAAAGGTTAACCCCCATCCCCAGCTGTTGGGGGTTTCCTTATCATCTCCTTTGAATATAAAAAATGGGAACCCTCTTCACCTCTTGTATGGAGTTTGTGGAAATAACCCACAGGATTTGTTAGGATATAATTCCTTTAGCATTTGCGTACAAGGCGGGGAGGGGGGCTTCAGCCCCCTAATTTTTGCCAAATAGGGCAAAGTCGGGCAATTTTTGGTTCACTGTCAGGCCAAAAAATGTGGCGACAGTCACAAGACGTCGGGTTAAAACCGTACGCCTATGTCCTTTCGAATGGAATTTCTACATCCTTGGATATTTTGACAATTTTTGGGAAAATATTAGCAACCTTAACCCATTCAGTTGCAATGCACTCCACTTGTTTGTTTTTCTCTGTGTAACACCAGATGATTTTACATGTCAAGGTGAGGTCCAGTTTGTCACACAATGGGTTACATACAGAGGATATAACAACTTTAATGATGTGCAACTCTTATAACTAATAATATTTGGGTTAACCAAACAATAACTTTGTACTTAAAAAAACACCGAAACCTTGAAAGTGCAACAACTGAACAAGTTCATAAACTAAGTTGAACCACATAGTTAGGTAAATAGTATTGTGTAAATATATAGTGTAATATATAGTGTAAGTTACCAAAATAGTGTGCCCCTCCCC